TTCCTTGCTCGCCTACACCAAGACCTGGACAACCCAGGTGGACTTGGGGCCTTTAGCATTGCCGGAGAGGATCAGGAGGGGACACGGAATTCTGGAGCGCCCCCGGGAAGAGATGTGGGCCAGATTTGTCAGAGATGTAAATACATGCTGTGTGGGTCAGTCCAGAGCCCTATAATAGAAATTATATTATAGATCTCTGGATCAGTCGAACATCTCCTGTCTCTCAGCCAATCACAGAGCGAATGTAACTATACAGAGCGGGAAGCGCGTGAGCTGAGGTCTACCTCAGCTTCCCGCGGTTCACGCGCTTCCCGCTCTGTATAGTAAATACCATAGACTGCATCTCTCTTACATATTTTGTCTGTGTGCAGTAGACGTCGTATATATATATATATATATATAATGCTTGCAATGTTTTGAACTCCAGCAACACAGATAAGGTTTAACAATTAAATTATACTAATCAGTTTAGAATATCCAAGTTTCTTTTTTGGCAAATAAATTACTTTTATCTAAAAATATTCTTTGTTTTTTCTCATTTAAAATTACAAATGTAATCTTGTAAATGTTGTGTTTTGTCTGAATATTTCCCCCCTATGGCATGTACAAGGCATGTATTTCACAATAAATACCGTGTTCAAAAAACAAGGTAATATCCTCTATATATAACCCAGAAGGATTAAGTGCTCTGACAAACAGCTCTGTGCAAAATGAATATTGCCATACAGGAATGAAAAGTCAATAAATAAACATGTTGTTAAAACTCACACGTTTTTGTTGTTTGTCACATGTTGTTGCACGTCACAAAGCACAAATATTCCAGAATGTAATGCTTACAGGTCTTTGGTTTGGTTCCCATGAGTCTGTCGTGTCTATTTTTCTCAGACCCTTTGTTGATCAGGCAAAAACATTGGCATCCAAAGGTGTCTTGGAGGGAAAATGGAACCTGTGTGAACAGCAAAGCTGTTGGACTTCGTTGCTGTGTAGACTCAAAGGCAAGACCTACAATGCAAAACACCCGAAAACACCACACAGTTTAATGGGTACTTTTGGTTGCAGCTTCTGTCTACATCCTGGTACTCTAATAGAGAAACAGGTGACAGGGTAGAGCAGAAATTCATGACTTAAAAAATGGGTGAACAGACGCACATTTGTTGCTTTTCCAAACGCACATGAGAGGGAGTAGTATTGCTCAATGGTTGTCATACTGTAGCTTGTATTTAGCTGTAAATTTTCCTGAAAGCACCAGCTAAAACTATGATCAGCTTCACTGTTAGGTTTCCCAAACAGTGCACAACACAGGAGCCGATGGAGCTGCTCAGTCAGTTTTTGGCCGTTTCTCAATGTCGAGTAAACCTGCTGCAGAGCCACTATTTCAAGTATACTACATCATTGAGTGGCGCCGAATGACTCTTTAAATGCATGTTAAATGCCCAGCATTCGGCGCCACTCGATGACGTAGTATACTTGAAATAGTGGCTCTGCAGCAGGTGTACTCGACATTGAGAAATGGCCATTCTGTCTGATCTTTAAGTTGTGCCTCTCTGTGAATACTCTCACTTTGAGATATTACATCAATACAATTGATGAAGCAATAACAATATTTATAAATAAGTCCAGCTTTGTAAATATGAGGATTTGCTGTTTTTTTCCTTCTGTTTTATATCATTGTGTATGTAATGTCTATGCCTCTGGAAATTTGAATTGGTATTTTCTTACTGTTGTGTAAAAATAACAGTTAAGCTATTCATCATCGTAAAAGCAATTAACAGATTAATTGATAACATATGAATGTATAACTCAATAATTTAGGTTATAAACTATACTTAGTTAATGAGCCAGGGGGTTGGTTGTGCCAATGTAGATGGACCATGTCTCATAGTGACTTTTTGAAGGTCTATAGTTTTCAAAAATGCATTATAGCATTGCAAGAATATAAGCTTTCTATATGCTATTACTCCTTATTTCAACCCTATATCATTGCAATTCTACATTTATCAGAATTTTAACTCTTTAAATGTTTGTTTACGTAATGCCATTGCTTGTGGGGTATTTTTTCTTTATGGAATAGATCAATGATTCACAAAAACAAAATGCATTTGTATTTGTAAAGATAAACATGAAAAATTGCTATATATGGTCGAAAATAGTAAAAAGCTACATTTTGAAGTCATGTCATAATTACTTCTTTCACACCATGTTACAGCATGGACCAGCATGAAGTCCATGCTGGTCCATGCTGGTATGCCGGTTTTTGCGCCGGCAGACCAGCATAATGACCAGCTTCACCAGCAAAGACCAGCATGGACCAGCATGGACCAGCATGAAGTCCATGCTGGTCCATGCTGGTCCAAGATGGTCCATGCTGGTCCATGATGGTCCATGCTGGTCCATGCTGGTTTTGCGCCGGCAGACCAGCATAACGACCAGCTTCACCATCAAAGACCAGCATGGACCAGCATGGACCAGCATGAATTCCATGCTGGTCCATGCTGTTTTTTTCAGCAAAAGTGACATGTGTTGTCAGGTTGGAGAATATGTCTCTTCATGTGTTTTGGCACATTTGTGTTTTTTTATCTGCATCGGTTCTGAAGCTGCATTGAGTTTCTCCTGATGGAAGTGTTGTGGGTTGTTGTAGCGCGTTAGCACCTGTTGGCCACTGTACATGGTTGCACATAGTACACAAAATGATCGTCGAAATAATTCAGCAGTTTTTCTTTTTTAAATTCTTTAACAGGAAGTTACAATCGAAAACAAGTCTAAAACTTTTATTTAGATTGCCCATTATCTCCAAAAGTGCTTCATGCTAATTGCACTCGGGCAAGAATTAATATCATTTTATTGGTACAAATGACATAATTAATTCCGGTTCTTGATAATTCCTTAATGAATTGAACTTTTCCACTGTTTTAACAAAGCTATATTTACCTATGTTAAATCAATACCTTCCTGGGATTGTAGCCCATGTTGTATGGACAGATGTTTCTGGTGTTTGAACTACTACTATTACTTGAAAATGAGCTTTGTACAGATATTACAAGTGGAAGTGTTGTCATCTTTCTTCGTGAATTGAGGCCACACTTTGGACCCTTTCTTCCTCTCAGCCAGGACTTCTTCTTGCTGACATTTCTAGAAGTCTAGACGCATGCCGAAAAATGATAAAATCACTTGAAAAATCGGAGCTGAATAATACCGATGGATTTACAATTTTGGATTTGGATTCTGCTCCCTATGCACTGTGTTGTAATGGCCTGGATTACTTTTTCAACATGAACTACAGCTCTACCTGAAGTGTGCATGGTCCATGTACCATACATGAGACTAGATGATGTGTAATGGCTGCTTAGAGTTGTGAAAATTGCCTTTTTAAATGAACTAAAAGACAAAATTGTGAGAGAGAACTAGGGAATAATGTATGTGCTGTTTTAAATGTCATTCCTTTTTTAACCTGAACCCCACCTGAAATCTGTGCTTTTGCAGTTTACATTCTAAACAGTAGAGGTCCTTATTGTCAAAGATGGTGATTTGTTACAGCAGTGTGTGTACACATGCACTTGTGTAACAGTTGTAATCCTTTCACTTCAGTTATTGTGCTCATGTGTTGTACGTGTGGCAAGTGTGTGCTTGAGGCTCGTCACAATATTTCGATGCACATACATGTGAGATTTGGTTGAGATGATGAACGTTTTGAATGTAGAACATTTCACAAGATTCCTCATAAAGAACTGTATTCAATCTCGTCATTCACACGCAATTCTTTATTTCACAAGCACCATTAACGGTTTGACAGATGAAGGCTCTGATCCCAGAGATGACCCCCTGGTTTCTGAGAAAAAAATTCCTCCTGAGCCAAGCAAATGCATAATGTGGGAGTAGAAGAACCTGGCATTCTGACACATGCATTATCTGGGGACATTTCGCAGAAGAAGAAGTGATAAATTGAATTTCCTGGGGAATTTTTTCTTGGGTCACATTTAATGCGGAGGCGTGTGGTGCAGTGGGTTGTGCGTTGGTTTTCGGATCAGGGGGTCACGGGTTCAAACCCCACTGCAGTCAGCATGTCGTTGTGTCCCTGAGACACTTCACCCCAAATTGCTCCTGTGGGGATTGCCCACATTATTGAGTATGTAAGTCACTTTGGATAAAAGCGTCTAACAAGTAACATGTCATGTAATGTAATGCACATCATTACGGCCGTTAAACAAAGGTAATGCCCCTCCACCTGGCTCCAGTCTCTGCCATGGTATCTCATTGTTTGAGACATCTTACTGTTTCAATATGGTCAGGTTGGTTTGATTTCCTAGATCCTGCAACAGGAACATCTGTTCTCAGTACAAACATCCGTCGGCGCACCCTGCTCAGGGCCCATTTTCTCCTGCACTGTTTCCATTTTGCCTCTGATGTTTCCTCTCCTGAGGTGAGTAATTATGTGGGTGTTGTGGAGGCGGTGGTCGTGATCTCCTGAGGTTGGGCATTTCTAGCTAATTTCCTAAAACACTTTAGATCCTCCTCCTCTTTTCTCTCCTCTCTTATCCAACCCCTCCTCCTATCCTCCCTTCACATACTTCTCGTTTCTAGGTCAGGATCTCTGTTGACATGTATCTTTATTGAAGCCATCATCTGACCCCCGTGCATTGCGGTTTTTACCAGGAGCCATCACTGCACCCTGAACCTCTGGACACCTTCCATTCCAAGCTTCTTCTGAAGGACTATTACTCACCAGCAGCTCATTTTCTCCATTCAGGCGTGTGATTATTGTGATCGTAGTGAGGGAATGTGTGATGAGTGCAGTTTAGGGAAAGTGTTTCCTGAAGTTTACCTAACCCCTTTATTAGTGGCAAGACCTCAGAAACCACCTCCAGATGTTTGAGAGGACAATCTGACCGATTATTTACAACACGGCCAGTGAACATCGCCCTCTTCACACGGACGCTTACTCTTTGCTCCTTTGGCAAAGGAGGTTACTTGGTTGTGAACAGATCACTGCAGACCAGAGGCACTCAAGCTGAGGGACTCATCGGACTCATCTCTTCCTGACAAGCACCTTCAGGACAGACCACCATGTCTAAGAGCTCCTCGGTCACCAAGGCTTTCGCCGCCGCCTTCGTCGTCCTGACGGTCTCCGCCATAGCAGGCATTGTCACCATGGTCATTTTGTACAAAACCCAGATCGCTACAATGAATCCCACGCCCCGGCCGACTTTCCCTTCCACCACCACGGGTCTACCGCCCGTCATGCGGCTTCCGAAGAACCTCGTCCCGGAGAGATACAAGGTCTTCCTCTGGCCTCGCTTCTACAGCCAGATCATTGAGGAGGTCAATGTCACCAGCGCCAACCAGACGTGGCACTTCTCTGGAAACACCACCGTTTACTTTCATTGTGTCCAGGGCACAAGCTCCATTTACCTCCACAGCCAGTTCCTGGATGTGTATGGTCCAGTGGTGGCGAGCACAGACACAGATGAAGGGATCCGTGTTACCAGAATGGAAAACCACCAAGACCAAACTGACTTCCTGGAGATCGAGTTGGATTATGCTTTGAAGACGGGGGGGAACTACAGTTTGTTTCTGGCTTTCAGAGGAGAATTAGGTTATCTCGATGGGATGTATGTTAGCACATATAAAGAAGGTATCCCAGCTCATGAAGACGATAGAGATACAGACAGGTGGGTACAAAGAGTTTAAAGCTTTTGAGTGTATGTGTGAAGAATTAGTGATAATGGCTTAAGAAAACATCCTGCCAAGTTTTAGCAAGGAAACCGTTATTCACCAAATGTTAAAATTCCCTTTATGTTTTACTTTGTGACTTCAAGATTCACACATATATGGAAATGGATTAGGGCCACATGTAAAAAAAAAAAAAATGGAGATCTGACCAAGAGTTATTAATTTTTTGTTCTGAGATGTAAAAATTCCGAGAAGGAAAATCTGAATTCTGAGAGAAAACTTTTTTTTCTTAGAATTTTGAGAAATTCAGATTTGAACTAAATGGAGCCCTAATCCTCAGTTATATTGCTACGGTTTCACAGAAACTGAAAGAACGTATGTTCAGCATTAAGCCTTTTTATCTGACACCCACTAAAGTTCTGTGTTGTAAATTCCCCTTCCTTCCGATTTAGTTATTAGACCGAATTTGTTAGTCTGTGACCTTCTGTCTGTCATTTTCTTTTACTTAGTTACCCTGTAATCATGAACTCATTGCTTATTGATGAATGAATAATTTTTTATTTTCTAATTACTCGATACTGAAACATAATTTGTTCTGACATTACTTACAGTAGCTCCTCGAGCCATCTGCTATATTCAACACATGTAGAAACATTGAGACATTAAAGAGGTTAAAGAATTATTTTGCTTTTATTTTGGAGGTTTTCTTTAACGTTGGCCGGTTAAAACATTCTCAACTGAATGTAGTGAGACCATACTAATATCATCACTCCATTGTTTACTGTTCTGTCGGAAAGATAAAATAATATACACTAATCTTATAAAAAGATAAAATAAGAAAGTAAATCCAAAGTAAGAACAAATGTATATAGTTGTCGGCTGCAATATGTTACGTATATATGCAATATAATATGTAAAACAATACGTAAGTACAGTAAAGTATAGTACAGAAGAGGATTAGGGCCGCATGTGGAACGTTATTGAGATCTGACCAAAAGTTCTGAGAAAAAGTCTGAATTCTCAGAACTTTTTTTTTTTAAACTTTTGGTCAGATCGTCAAAAATGTTTCACATGAGACTCTAATCCTCTTTCACAGTATAGTAAGACCTTGACTTTCATGATAATATTTATAATACAATTTAAAAAAAAACAGAATGAAACACTGCTCACAATCTATCTAATCATTCAAATCAAAGTGACGCTCCTCATTAATGTTCCTATCTTTTTGTGAACAATTCAAAGTTAGATTTTTCAGATTGGAGTCAGTAAATCTGAGTACATCTAGATGTTGAGGATGTACTGAGGTCTTTTGCTAAAGGGAAAATAACAATATTTTGTGTCAGCTATTAATCTGAATCTATAAAATAAAAAATAACTAAGGCTGTTAAATACATGTAATGGAGTGAGAAGTTCATTATGGCTTCTAAAATGTAGAGGAGTAGAAGTAACAAGTAGAATAAAATAAAAATACTCAGGTGAAGTAAAAGTACCCCAAACTTGTACTTAAGTACAATACTAGAGTATGTGTTCTTAGGTACATTCCAGATATACAGTAGATGTGGTTTCAAACAGACGGAATGAACTGATGTATTTTTGATAAAGCTGTTTTCTGTCTACTTTCTGTAACTGATTCATTTATCATGAATAATGTGCTAATAGTGTATGGTGACACACACACACACACACACACACACACACACACACACACACACACACACACACGTCCCTTTATTTATATTGTTCTCTCTAAGGAAATAGGATACCCCAACTCACTTTTGTCTTCATCTTGCTATTATACTTAAAATTAGAAACCAAATAATAGGTACTGGGCACTCGGATGTTGCTCAGTTGCCAGTGTCATATTTCACCCTTCAAAGTTTTAAGACCACCTCAATGTGCTGCTACAATGCACTATCACTTGACAATCTCCACTCACCACTAGAGATATTGAATTTGGCATTGGCTGATATGTGTTAGTAGTTATTCTCTAACTTATACTTTTGTCATGATGATTTGTGCCAAACTTACAATCTACCTTTTACAAACGTAGAGGACACACAATGACGCTGTATCCACCAGTATTTAAAATATGCAAATCTGATGGAGTCAATGCTTTTAAACGTACTAATTCAACGGAATCTATTATGGGTTTTTATGATATCCAAATTGTATCCTCATTATCTGTATCCAGTGTTCCCGCAGTGTTTCCCTGACAATACACTTTCTTTCTCTGTAATTATAGAGCCCTTATTGCCACCCAAATGGAACCAACATCTGCCAGGAGAGTGTTCCCTTGTTTCGATGAGCCAGATTTTAAGGCAGAGTTCGAGGTGACAATAATCCACAGGAGAATCACGACGGCTCTAGCGAATGGCATAAATACAGGTAAAAACACAAGCAGTCACAATGCAAAAACATAATATAGTACATCATTTCTCTTCAAAATGATCCAATATATCGTCCTAATACTGGTCTTCTTTGTTTCTACTCTCTCAGACGGCGCCAATATTATAGACGACGATTGGAAAGCCACAGCTTTTCAGCCAACACCGTTGATGTCAACCTACCTGTTTGCCTTCACGGTTTCAGAGTTTACACCAACCCGCTCCTCAAATCACCGTGTGGAAATCAATGTATGTGTACTGTAGACGTAGGATGAATTATATGTCTTTACTCTCGGTATGGAGTTGATGTTTGCTTCTATCACTTTCAGATCAGGTTTTGGATATATGATGGGAATTATGTTCATTCAAATAACCATAGGTACTGACTACAGTCTAACCATAGGTACTGAATAGAGTCAAAATGTTATGGCATGTTTTCAATGTCATATCAAAATAATATTCGGAACCATGAAACCAAACCGTATCCAATAACTGAATAATTTTCAGGTTTAATAACTCAGTTTTTTGCACGTCACTCCCACACTTTTGGGATTATTTCAAATTATAAATATGTAAAAGTACAAAACCAAAATATGTATCTTGCGTGCTTTATGTTTTCCCATACAGACATACGCTCGTCCTGAGGCCACTGCAGCAGGACACGCTAAATATGCAGCGGATATCACGGGAAGGATTCTCGACTACTTTGAGGGCCGTTTTGAAATTAACTACCCACAGAGAAAGCTAGGTAAGTCTTTGTCTACACAGGAAGAACATGTAGACTATATCCTACTTCTTTATCATTTGATATTAGTATACAGTACAGGCTACTCATTTTGACTTGTTTGCTATAGGGTTCACTAGCAAGGACCGTACCCCAACATTTTGTCATTTAAAGATTTAATGAAGGAGGGTTAGGGTTAGAATGAATGGATGGATGTAGGGGAGGGGAGGGGGCTTGAAGGGGACAAATGTTGTTTGTGAGGCTGGTTTGGGGGGACATACTGAAGTCAGGGCAGTGGGAGACTCTTGGTGGTGGTTCTGTCTCTGGGAATTTCAGTTTGAGCCGATTATGGGCCCCAAGACAGTACCTAGAATGACACATTTGGAAAAGTATGCATATATAGTATTGGATAGATGTAGGAAGGGGTGAGGGGAGGGTGGGATGAAGGGGTCGATTGGTGTGAGGGATGTAGGGATGAAGGAAGTAATAGTGCAATGTGTGAAGGGATGTGGATTAGGGTAAGGGTGTGGGGGATGAAGGGGTGAAGGGATGAAGGGATGTGGGTAAGGATGAAGGGTTGAGGGGAGGAAGGGATGAAGGGATGAAGAGTTCAATGTTTGAAGGAATGGAGGGATGTGGGTTAGGATGAGGGGTGTGGGGGATGAAGGGGTCAATGTGTGAAAGGGGGAAGAAATGTGGTATAGGATGAAGGGATGAGAGGAGTAAGGGATGAAAGGAGGAAGAGGTCAACAGGTAGAAGGATGAAGGAATAGGGCTAAGAATCGGTTGGAAGATCATGGGAAAGCTGTCAAAGATCCTCAGCCTCAGTTCCACCCTCCGTCACTCGTTAGGCGATCATCATCATCCAACAACATCCAAACTTTTATTTTCAAGAAAAAAATGCAAAGAAAACCATTAGACCCAACCAGAAAGACGGAAAACAAAATGATCAAGTAACTACTGGCTCAATGTATTTCAGGGGACAGAGAGTGCCTTTTATAGATAGGGGCTCAGTCTTTTAACAGATCATGCTGATTTATTTCTTAATTTTTTGTAAATTACTTATGTTTGTTGTAGATACTTTTTTGTTTTGGAAAGAATGTTGGTATCTAGTGTAAACAATTCTGATAATAAAAAAAAAGTTTACGCAATATATTCTGGCTCATGTGGGCACAGCCAGTAAGGAACCACAAGCAGAACAAGTCAATATAATCGTTATAGCACACAATGAGGAATGTATTGCTTCAAACCACTACATTTACCACCAACACTGATTGCACATTCTCCTAAAAAGTTCAATTCAAACTTCCTCAATGTTTTTATCACCTCCAGAGAGGCTCTCTTTTTCTGAGGAAAACTCACTGGATACTTTCAGATAGTGTAACACACTACTGGCAAATGTATGTATCATCTCATTACTTGTCCATATTTCTGTGACTCCTACAGATCAGATTGCACTGCCAGACTTAATTTCCGCCGGAATGGAAAACTTGGGGCTGATCACGTACCGGGAGGGGGCGCTGCTCTATGAGGAGGGGGTGTCCTCTCTGCTTGACAAGGAACACATCGCTGAACTCATTGCACATGAACTGGCACACCAGGTTAGAGGAAACTACTCTTCACCCACTTTTGTCAATAATTAAATGTCAAAAGGAGAAATGCCAAAATGACATTAACATTGCTTTTTTTTGTCGACAGTGGTTTGGGAATCTGGTGACGATGAAATGGTGGAATGATATTTGGCTGAACGAGGGCTTTGCCAACTACATGACATTATATGCAGTGGACGCTGTTGAGCCTGACTTTAAATTAGTAAGTTCAGACCAAACCTTCACCTCTTTATCATGAGGGTCATGGTAATTGAAAAAGAAAGCTTGATGCAATAAGGCAAGACAAACACATCTCCATCTCTTCATGTTGTAATGCAGCATGTCTCTTCTTGTTTCCCCAGAAAGATGTAAATATCCTGAACAACCTCCACTATGCGTTTGAGGCGGACGCTCTGGCCTCCTCTCGTCCCCTCAGCACTTCTCAGGGAGATGTGCAGACCACTTCTCAGATCCTGGAGATGTTTGATATTATAACCTACTATAAGGTAGAGACAGCACATTTCAATGAATACATCCTGCATGAGGAAGCATGGCGAAGGATTTTATAAATACCAAGGTCCAAAATCAAGCTCATGGGGGGGCATAATACTTAAGATTTCTCAGATGTAGTTAAGTGCTTTTTAAGATACTGTATTTGGAGTGGTAAACATCAAATTACGTTTTTATATCAAATCAGTGGGCAGGAGCTTAAATTATCTTTGAATGAGCAATGCATGAGATTCAGGCTGAATAATGTGGACATTCAGAAGAGGCTGACATGATCACAGTATTTCTGAAAATGAATGTTGGCAATTTTAAAATAAAATAAAAGTAAAGAAAATGTATGAATACACTTTTTAGGCAATTATCTCACAACTTTTATTATATACATCACCGAAAACATTCCGAGGACCGAACCTCTGTGACGTCAATGTGGGTACGTCCTATTAGGAAGTGTAATGCATTCACTTGAGAAAACAATACCTCAAAAAAAGATCTCATATAATTTAATTAGATCAAACATGTCCGTTTAGTTGAATCAAGTTTCATTATGATTCATTACTATACAGATGCTTTTGTCATGAGTTTGTTGAATTTGCGCTGAACCCCAGGACTTTGCATCTGTTCAGACGTACATTACATCATACGTGCAGTGTTTCACCAGAATCATAGGAAATTATATAAAATGCTTTGTGGGCATGAGGCATTTTAAATGCCTTCAGGCTGGCTACAGTGATCCAAGAGCCAATCAGGCAACTGCTAAAAATACAGAATCCCCAGGGAAAAAACAGGGAAGATGTATATTTGTTTTTCTCAAGTGAGCAGTCTCCTCAGTATGTTCATGTAACATGTATTTGGTGTTCACTCTGTAGGGGGCAGCTGTGCTGGTAATGCTGGCAGACCTCGTGGATCAGCCCGTTTTCGACAAAGCAATCAGAGTAAGCAATTACATTTAATCTCATTCAGTTGGGCTGAAATACAGCTGTCTTTATAATTGCCTCTGCGGACTGTGCGACTAAAAGTACTTTTTGACACCCTATTTGAAAATAATACTTTTTAAACGTAACTGTAACTGTAACTTCTATCTGGATCTCTCTGTTTTTCTGTTTTAGAGGTACCTCTCAGACTGGCAGTATAAAAACACAGACCAGAATATCCTCTGGGAATACATACAAAAGGTAAAGTGTTGGATTAAATCAGGTATTTCCACATGCAAATGTTTGGTAAATAATCATTGATGAGTCTATTTTATTCATATAATAAATGTTGCAGGCAGATGACGAGAGTACAGGCGAAAGGAATATTGCCGAGGTGATGAACAGCTGGACTAAACAAATCGGCTACCCTGTTATCACCATCAACACTACCAGTGGAGAAGCCTTCCAGAAGCACTTCCTGTTCAATAACTCAGCAGTATCTAGGTATGCGCCAAATGTGTACCCGTTTAGGTCAAAGCTCTTATAATACTCATAACATTACAGTTCATTTCAAAATTCTTATCAAAATAAATGAATATTGATCAGTTAATATTTTCAATCAAATAAATGAACATCTTAAGCATTAATTCTTTAGAGTGTGTGGGAGAGAAACTCCCTCTGTAGGGAACATAGGGATTTTAGCCTTTGCAGACCATTGACATGCACAAACTTTTTTTTAAATCAATGAAATAAATAACTCTTTTTAGGTCAAAATAATGTCATATAACATATTCCTAATATGGATTAGATATATTGGATTTCTGTCAACACCAGTGCAAAGGAATCCCGCTAGTTTAGATGGTGTTATCATTCGTTTGCTTGTTTACTTGAATCTTGCAAACTCTTGGTGGAAAATGTGAATAAATGTAGTAATGTGGTCAGTGCCCATTTGGACAAAAATTGAGAAAATATTTTACATTTACTATCTTTCAAATGCCAAAGTTCATGAATTTGTGACTTCACTCAAAAATGTCTTACTCCCTCTCAGAAGAATTGTCACCAAATATTCAAACTCGGGTGTGTGGCTGTTTTGGTTGGCAAAATACAGTTATTTTTTTAGCAATCACTTTTGTCTGCCATGCCTGCATGAAATCACTGCAACAGACTGTATTATATATTTGGCCATGTAGAGCGTTCTAACAATGTGTTCAATAACACTGCCTGCTGAGGTGAGCAATAATTAAACCTGACACATTCTTACATTGCATTGGCCATACTCAGAACAGCTCTGGACTCATGCATGTTGGAAGTGCAGAGAACTGGTTATTGTACAGGAGATTTGATTTCATGCACCCTTTACAGGTCATCTTAAAAAGCTTCTTTCTAAGTTGCCTTTCAATTCTTCATTGCTAGACACTGAAGAACCCTTTCCTCGACTATGAGCATCCTAATTGTTTTTGTCTTTTGTTTTCTGTCCATTTAGTCTTTCGTGGCACGTCCCGATCAGAGCCATGAGATATACAACTCTGTTTCGTCTAATCTGGTTGAAACCCGGCGAGTCAGGTAACAGGATGTAAAACACAGAGCCTTTCTCCTGAAACCCAATTTTTAACAGCTTTGTTTGCATTTTGGACAAACAACCATTACATTAGATCTTTTGTATTTCATCAGGCCCAGAAAATATAAAATAACATTTAAATATAAATAATTATTTGGACCTTTAGACATCTTAAGGCATCTATGTGATGGACCTTGATTGGGTAAAATCCAGTAAAAGTTTGATGAGACTGAGAAAGATGACCTTATACACAAGATAACTTTTCATATAGTTTTTAATGTGTATTCATACTGTTCCATTGATCTTTTATGTTATTGCTTTTTGAACAGCAATGAAAGACGAATTTGTTGCTACTAAAGGAGAGTGGATTCTGGCAAACGTCAACTGTACTGGATACTACAGAGTCAATTACAACCCAGAGAACTGGGATCGCCTCATCACTCAGTTGCAGAAAGACCCACGTGTGAGTACTGAGCCAAACCATGAGGTCCAGCACTCTGGGACATTCATGAATAACATGAATAACAACATATCTGAAGCTTGGGGATTTTTTGCGAGCAACGCGACCAACAACCAATCACATGAATCTCCCGCCCCCGACATACAAAGCAAAAAAGCCAGAAGTAAACTGGATATAAACTCCCCAAACAGGCGAAAACCTACCACTGTCTCTGCCACCTCCCTCCATGCCTGGCTCCTCCGGTTTATATCCCGGTAGGTAAATAGGGACTGGTCATAAAGCACCGGGTGATTCCCTACCGCTAATTTCTCCTCCATGTTTTGGAATATGACGAAATGACCTGCGGTATGTCTCTCCCAGCATACACGCGGTTTGATTGGCTAGCGCTTGTACTGTCAGATTTGCATACACGGGATTTGATTGGCTGACGCTTCCACCTCAGCTTCAAAAGTTGAACATTGCTCAACTTTGAATCCTGAGATGCCTGGAAATCTCCGCTCTGCTTCCCACAATGCAGTTCGGCGAAAAGTGAGGCAAAGTGACGTCACCCCATTCAAAGTGAATGGGCAGAAGCGTTGGAAGATTTTTTTAACACTGCTGTGTGGACGGGCCGTGAGGCATCAATACAATCAATATGAATCATCCTCTGGGGAACATGAATGTCTGGATGAACTGACTGACTTTAGCTTAGCGGTGGTGACGTGAAGTCATGGGATGTGATGTAGGTCATTTGGAGCCCCACATTTGCTTTTTACTTCTGGCGATTGCATTTAAGCTTCAAATGTCACAAACTGGTGTAAATAGTTGGACATTAACCTGCAAAACAAAACGTGTACGTTTCCAAAACTTGTGTGCCACTGGGGAAATCATTGCTTTTTGTAAAGCGATGCACCATCACTGTACCACTCTATTGGTAAGCATCTTTAGACAGAACTCCTAATACAGGAGCATAGCTTACATTTAAAGAAATTAAGGCTTTATATCAAACTTTTAAAATAGTAAAAAGTTATTGTTTCCTGATCTAATGCAGAGTTTTCGCATTTATAGTAATATCATTGATTTCAGATGTCTACATACTTGGGGTCTTTATAAACTAAAAATGTAACTGCCCCTAATGTTGCTCTTCTTCCAGCGGATCCCACTGATGAACAGAGGGCAGCTTGTTGACGATGCATTTAATTTGGCAAGGTAATAACTTTCAGATAAACCACACTGCTACAAATCCAAGTGTGTTCTGATCAAACCTGTTTTGTTTTTTTTAAATAAGGGCAAGCTAATGTCTGCCTCTTCCTACAAATGTTATCTCTGTTTTCCTCAGGGCCAAACTTGTCAACGTGACTCTGGCGCTAAATTTAACGCGCTTCATTCGGAATGAGACGAAGCTAATACCCTGGGCAGCAACCATCAGCAACCTCGGGTACTTTGTCCGCATGTTCGATCGATCTGAGGTGTATGGACCAATGCAGGCATGTACTATTAAAACATTATTTTAACTTGTAATAATCCAAATTAACAATTCTTTCTAACATCACCAAATGAATTGACTAGTATTACATGAAGAAGCTGGATTTAACAGACTAGATGTGATTTGTGTCAATGTCCTTCCCTCATCAGGATATAAAGAGATGAGTCATAAAAGTGTTGTGTGTGTTCCTGTAACTCTGCTGTAAATGTGTCTCTTCCTGTAGATGTACCTCCGTAATCAGGTTAAAGGCCTTTACAATTCTTTCAGCAGCTACACAGACAATTCCACAGTCCCAACTGATCACTCCTCACAGTAAGGAAAGATGAGTTTTTATGGCGTCATATAACACTATCACATGTTTCGGATAAAGACTCAAATGACTTGATTGGATGGTTCTTTGGTATCATCATTTTAAATATCTTTGTATGTGTGAAACTTCAGCACATTAGCAAAGACCAACCTACCAAGATACAGTGTTTTATATATATTGTATTTTTTGATTAGGACTTATTCATCAGAATCAGAAATCAGTATCAGAAACAGCATTATTGCCTTAAGTAGGTATGGTGCGTGCATAAACACAGTCAAAGAAAATACATTGTCAGAAAAACAACCAACAAATAATGTATATACATATACCTAACAACTACGTACAGTATAATATGACAAAATACTCGTCAAAAAACAAATATATATATGCAGTACTGGTATGAAAAGTGTAAAGCCGTGAAGATATTAAAAGATCATCATCATTTAACACCTACTGATAATTTATAAATATTCAGCTAATCTCCGAAATGTGCTTGTAATTAAACGTAATAATATTCCTTAATAAATGACATATCAAGCTGAATGAATTCAAATGCATTTTTCATCAAAGCTCTATTAATACATATTTTATTTAAAAAATCGCATCTCTATCTTCTTCGAAACACTTATTACATTACATTTATCATCATGTATTACATCTACACTTCTAATATAGAAATTGTGCTTTATTCCAAGGCAAATCCAGATAAAGGCCATAGATGTGGCATGTTCCAACGAACTCCCAGAATGCATTGAGATGGCTCAACATATGTATGCCGACTTGATGAAAATCAACAGCACCAACAAGTACGGACAATATGGCATAAGTATCTTTAACATCACATTTATTGTCTATCTGCCATAGTCCTATAGTGAACCCGGAATGATTGAGTGACCCAACGTTCTATGAAATAAATGTTTAAAACAGGTCCCCGACACATAGTGCTGCCGGATGCTAACTTGCATGTTGGGCAATTTGCACAATTAGCATCAGTTGCAATAATTAGCATATGGTGACTATAGTTAAAAACTGGCTTGGCCAATTTGGGCTATTTTGAATGTTGAATCCATTTCTGAATTTTTCAGGATCAAAAATGGCAGTTTTTACCAGAAACGTGCCATATTTGTACTCTATTACTATTTTACTGGTGGGCTGATTTTTATGAATTTTGGGTTGATTGTAAAGTTTTAGGGGACCCATTTTTTAGCTATTGTCTGCATAGGCTAATTAACGCTAATGAATGCAATTTATGCTAATTCTGTAAATTGCCCAAATGGGGACCCATACTATACATGATATATCATGAAACTTTGGGGTACTCAACATCACAGGTTCACACTGCTGGCAACTAGACTTTTATACTTCATACCTTCTGAAATGATGCTACACTGGAGGACTGTTGGTTCTAAGGGTCTCACTGTAACAGCTGTCATCCTGTTCTGTTGCTTTACACTCCAGCAATGATTTAAGAAAGGTAGGTGTCGTTATGATCCCTTTTTCGTGTTTATTGTTGGTGCCTGCTGTTACCCGTCTGCATTGTGGTTTTTATCTTTAAAGTTGCTCTGGGCTGGACATGCACTCTAAGCTTAAATCATATACTTTGGCGACCATGGCAATCCTTTTCCAACAGATTGAAAAAGGGTTTGCCAAAACAAAACTCCTGTACCTTCACACTAGCTTTCTTTGTGTTTTGGAAACCAGCTGCAACTTTTAAGTAGAGACATTGCCTTTTCAATAAATGTGTATTCTTTGTGTGCTCATTACATACACACACTGAAAAAACTGAAACGTTGACTTTACATTAGGTTCAACGTAATATTATTTCTTTCAACGAACCTACAACTGTAATGTGAAATTTGTTGACATAATACATTTAATTAAAGTCAACTTTTCAGTTTTTCAGTGGTGGAAAGTAACTAAGTATATTTACTCTAGTATTGTACTTAAGTACTTTTTTGAAATAGTTTTACTTTACTTGAGTATTTCCCTTTAAGGCGAGACACTACAGGTGAATAGGGTAATTATTTTAACTTAAAGATATCAGCTAGAAATTTCTCCAGTTAATTACTTACATTAAGACAATTGTTTTTTGTATTACAAGTTTTCTGAAATAGCATGTTTAAATATGCAAATGAGCCATAATCTCATTAAATATGCGCTTATTTTAATACATTTCAGGAACACAATTCTGAACATTGGATAAAGCCAGGTTCAAAATTCTTGTTTCATTTTGTAGTCATATTAGAATCTAAAGTTTTTACAGAAGGGATTTTGGATATCTCTTTTTCAGCCCTAAAATATCAATCTTCGCCATGTTTTTAGGTATAAAATGTTATATAATTCAGGCTATGAATGATATATGAACAAACCCTTCTGTAAAAGCCTTCAGAATATTGATAGGAATATAACTGGAAGGTTTGGTGTATGTACGTGCTACTGAAGTGGACATTTCTCACTCAGAATAGGAGAAAAAACTCATTTGAAAACGACCTTTAAAGATTGCTGTGTGGCGCTACCTAAACCCTCCTGTTCTTTGGATGATAGCTTGCGCATCGACGCACTCCGTGAAGGTATTTCATGTTCGGGGTCATTTGTTTTTTGTCTAACATTGCTTTGTGCAAGTGACAATTGTTGTCGTCTTCCCTGTGAACGTTTTTTTCGCTGTTCTTTTGCCATTTTGAGATTTAAATTTCCAGCGGAAAGCTAAGCCAGGAAGTGTTTTAGCACACCACGTGACGCATCTGAACGAATCACGTTGTCAGAAATTGACACCAGCCAATGAGATTTCGTTTTTTGGTTTAAGACCCCTTTGTACTTCCACGATTGGTTGCTGATACAAAGGAAATGACCATATTTGGATCCGATGAGATTGTGCAGTAGACGGAGGCCGTTTCTCAATCGCGAGGATGCTGGCTTGGTAGCACAGCCGAGCCGAGTATCTTGCTTCAGAAGCAAGGCAAGAATACTTCCTGCTATTCGGAAAACGAAGAGTGGAACAGGTTAGCAAGTGTGCAGGTGTGCGTCATATGAGAGGCCCCGCTTACATCTTCCGCCACAGATTTGGGGAAATTGGTCCATGCGCAAAGCATTGTGGGGATTTTAAGGACGCGAAGTCTACCCATGTGCAGCCTCGAAATTTCCCCCAAACCAAGGACGCGGCCTCGGTGGAATTCCAAGTATGCTGGAGATTGGAACAGTTCTTCAGCGGCACTCGATGACGTAGCATCCTTGAAATATTGGCTTGGAAGCCAATATCCTCGCGATTGAGAAACGGCCGGAGCTTTCGAACGATACCTCTGATTACATGGTGCAAACAGCGGATTTCATGCAAATGTCATCTGTGGAAGCCGTAGTACTGTGAAAAGCACGACCAATCATTTTAGCCGGCCCGGCTAAAATAACTGGATGGCCTACCTGCCTGTCAGCCTTCCATGTGTGCACAAACTTATCTCGTGCCCTCATTGGTCATGTGCGCGTTCGTGTGTGTTGGAGGAGGGGCTCTGTAAGGAAGTGGCAGATTTTCTCCGGTTGTGTATTTTCAAATTCTAGCGATCTCGAGCCGGTTTCTCAAACTTACCTACCCCACCTTTAAGATATTCATTGCTATCGGGATGTTAAGAGCATTCCATGGAATATAAGAAAAAGTGTATCTCGAGCCGGTTTCCCCTGAGTACTACTTCCACCACTCCATACATGTACATGCATGAAAGTGTGTTAATACATTTAGACGGCATGTATAAAGTGTGTGTGTGTGTGTGTGTGTGTGTGTGTGTGTGTGTGTGTGTGTGTGTGTGTGTGTGTGTGTGTGTGTGTGTGTGTGTGTGTGTGTGTGTGTGTGTGTGTGTGTGTGTGTGTGTGTGTGTCAGCATCAACCATAACCTGCGGTCTGTAATCTACTGCCACGCTGTGGCTCATGGGGGGAAGGAGGAGTGGGAGTTTGCCTGGGACCTGTATCTTCGCTCCTCAGACGTCTCGGAGAAGGACCGGCTCCGGCGGGCTCTGTCCTGCACCAAGAAGATCTGGCTGCTCAGCAGGTGACCTTTTTACCTTTGTTTTGAAAAGTGGTGGGGACACTTCTTTCAGATAAAAATAAAACTGTATTGCGTGCAACCCTTTTTTTTTTAACACACTAGTTTCCCTACTATTTGTAGACACAGGGTTCACAGTGTCAGGCTACACACTGTTGTCATAGGAACCATTATATGTGTTGGGGAAAATATTTAGGAAGCCAATAATCTAGGTCTTTCTTTAGGAGACTTGCACACCCCTGTTCTCCACGGCGACACACATACCTGCAAACATGTTGTGATAAGGTGTCATCTTTGTAAACCAAACCCTTGTAGGGGGGTCTGGGGAAGATGTTTTAATAAAGCAGTGACACTTATTACTTCAGGCAAACAAGCACATAGCACTTCTTGGGTCCCCAGAAATACACCGACCAAGTTTGTCCCCAGCATAAAGGACACCTATGCTTTTTTACCGTGCACATAATACCTTCTTTCAATATGGTAGACTTTGATAAGGTGAATCCCAAACACACAGTTGTTATTATGAAGTGAAGAGTTTGTCTGTGGCTTCCTTATCTTGCAGATACCTGGATTACACTTTGGACCCTGAGCTGATACGTATGATGGAGGTTGCTTCCTCTATAAGCGACGTCTCGAGGAATGTGGCCGGGCAGGCGCTGGCCTGGAACTTTATCAGAGCTCACTGGAACTATGTCAGATATTGGTAAGGTTATATTGCTTTATTTTTCTGAGTCATGAACAGTTTACAGATTGTGGCATTGGGTTTGACCAATATATACTTGATGGCTATGTTTAAATTTAGCCGTTTCTTATTCAGACAGATTTACAAGAAAATTACAAGTATTTGTGGTTAAACCCGAAAACATATGACAGGGTGGAGAAACAAACACAGCGTTGAGATTGTGAGAACTGGTAGCTCAGAAATTCTTCTTATGGTTTCTTTAAAGCTCAATCCAACTTTTTCATGGGGACAGAAATTGGACACACACATTTGAATTCTCCTTCACATCTTTCCTTCACCCCGTGACGTTTCCCATTTAGGTTAGGACAAGTGGTTAGGAAAACAGACATGACCTGTGTCTATCCAGAGATGGGTCTAGGAAACTTTTAGCCTAACTTTGCTAGACTTGGCTCGGGTTGTGCTGTGGCATTACATCTTAGCAACATTGATTACAGAGCTACATGATGGATACCATGCAATGGTAATTGCAAGTATGCTGACAAACCTGTGTTTATAGAGCATCGATATGCAAAAATATCAGTTTTATGATGGTAGTTTCAAGGAAGAACCTCCACCACCTCATAGCTCTGACTCAGTGGTAGTTTAAAGAGCAGTATCAGCCCCACAACTCATCTATCAGTCTAACCCTAAACACAGTGTTGGCTTGCTCATGGGCTTATCCTCTCAGCTCTGTCTCATGACCTGCTCTCAGGCCATGAGCTGCCAGTTAAAGACGAGGTTGTTGTCGTCGGTGTTGTCTTTATGGACGTTCTGCTGGTGGGCTCCTCATCACAGAGGTCTCTGGACACTGAAGTGACAAGCGGTCGAGTCACTTGAATAAACAAGCAGTGCCATAAAAGAACAGAATATAATAAACAGTGGCTTATATAAATCTTCTTCAGATGTCATTAAGTACAAAGGTCTTGTTATTTAATCAGTGCTTATCATTATCTCTCCTTCATAAAGTCCCCACTGTGTGTGCCGTTACCAGGAAGCGAAATAAATTGGTATCAAAGTTTATATAGACATAACAGACAGACAAGGTTTCATTTCATGAGCAAACAGGGACACCTCAGATGAGCTAAATCAAATGACCAGAATGGTCTTGGACTTCTTCATACTGTTTTACAATAAAAAAGTGTATTAGGCAGCTAAAGCCAATGCAGTCTCATACAACAGTCCTGCAGTAAAGTCCACCTTCTTTGAGGCCATGATTCTTGCAGAAACTGTTTGAGATATGTGTTGACTTTTGGCCATTTTAGAGTCTGCATGGGGTTTGTGGTGTTGTTAAACTGCATTGCACTACATGGAAGATAATTGCTGATATTTTGTCCACCCTGTCTCTGCTTCCAGGGATCCAGCCAGGCTGATTGAGGAAGTGACCGGCAGGTTCTCCACCCAGTTCGAACTGGAAGAGGTAATTTATGGATGTCTAATTGTTATATGAAATTGATAATACTGTCATGCAATGCCATCAAGTGGGAACTCCTCTCTCCAGTCACGCACCGCTAACTGATTAATATCCAACAAATGAGTGGATACACCCTACAACATCAGATGTATCGTTGTCATCGTCAGTTAATGGATGACGGCAAGTTAGTTTATCAGTGAGCCAAAACCTCAGATCTCTTACAATGTCATTTATTCTCATTAAGATGATTTTTTTATCATTTTTCATTTAAGGTGAAGGCTGGTTATTTTTTATATTTTTCTTATTACCAAAATATTTCATGAAAAGTTGAAAACCACCACTAATAAGTATTTATACAGCCTGATATCTCTTCTTCTTCTGTTCCATAGAGCTCCATTGTTGTTAAATACATCAGTGAGCCACACTGTTGCACTGGTTTCATGTTCATCCTTCATTACCAGACACACTGTTCTTCACTTTTTGTCAATCCCATTTTTTTTAAATCAAACTATATTCAACTTATTCTGCTTTGAATTAGGTCCAGTGTAAAGGATTTAGTGACGTCTAGTGGTGATGTTTCAGAATGCAACCAACTGAAAACCCATCCTTTACTAACAGCTACCTTTCCAAGTGTGTAGAAAATCTAGAGCTGACAAAGGTAACGTGAAACAAAAAGAGGCCTTCTCTAGAGCCAGGGCTAATGTAGGAACATGGCCATGCAACAAGTTGAACTCCGTAAAACGGACTCGATCCTTATTTTGATACTAAAGGCTCATTCTAAGCTAACACAACAATCCCTATTTTTAGGTGATTATAGACCTATAAAAACGGTGTGTTTATGGTGATGAAGAAAAGTGTGCAACAGAGTTGCTCATTATTGAGTTTGGAACATAGAAAGATGAAATGTCAGATTTGGCCTTCTATGTGTACCTGGTTAACAAAGCAATTTGGTTGTACTTTTCATTGAATTATCATCAAGCAAGATAAAACCATGGTGGTCAGACATGTTTTGCCTAAAATGGCCTGATTGCAATAAATCTGAATTACGTTTAGCCTTTGAAAGCGTTAAAAAGTGATCTTTTCTCCCATGGCACATATACCGAAGTACATACCACTCTTTTCTTGTATTGTTTGAAACAAAGAGTCTACGATATATGACAGAAATAGAAAGAAGCTACATTTTGAATGAACACTGACCGGTTTTTCCAGCTGTAGCTAGCTGCTAGCTTTTAAGCTAACATTAGCTCTTGTTGAATGGTTTTACGCCTTTCACTGGGTCGTGTTCCAAGCATACAGTCATCAACCTACAGTTGGGTGATCCATGTAGTAAACATTTTAGAAGTTTGGAGGGCTTTTATTCGCAATCGTAGCGTAACAAAATAAAGAGTTAGACATGCTCCCTCCCATGCCTAGGTATGGTTTCTTAATAAGGTAAGCCCTTTAGTCTCTCAAGCAATTATTTGTTCATGACAATAAAATATAAAATAACGCCAAACATTTTACTATGTGCTACCATTGCTAATTGGAGACTGTGGGTGTTTCTCAATGTCGAGGACGCTTCCTTGGTAGGACAAGTCCCTCCGAGTCAGGTCCTTCAGAAGCGAGGCAAGAATCCTTCCTAGCCTCGGAAAACGAAGAATTGTGGAACAGGCTAACAGGTGTGCAGGTGTGCGTCATATGCGAGGCCCCGCCTTAAATGGAGCGTGATTTCCGCCAAAGATTTGGAAATTGGTCCATGCGCAAAGCATTGTGGGGATTTTAAGACCGCGGAGGATACACATGTGCAGCCTCGAAATTTCCCACAACATAGTACGCCGGCCTCGGTAGAATTCCAAGTATCCTGGACATTGGAACAGTCCTTCGGCGGCACTCGATGACGTAGTATCCTTGAAATAGTGGCTCTGGAGCAACTTTCCTCGACATCGAGAAACACCCCCTATCTTGTAAATATGACTTAGCTTCTATTTTGTTCAAATGTGGGTCTCATACCTACAAAAAAGTTATTAAGTTAGGCGTCCGTTTTTGTGAATGAAATGCGCTTCTTTGCAGTGACCTAACATTACTGTATCACCCGTGTGTGTGTGTGTGTGTGTGTGTGTGTGTGTGTGTGTGTGTGTGTGTGTGTGTGTGTGTGTGTGTGTATATATAGCTGGAGCGTTTTGCGAAGGATTATGATCTGGGTCGAGCTTCCAGTGCGGCGTACCAGGCCATTGAGCAAACCGCAGTCAACATCCAGTGGGTCAGCGAGAACAAAGATGTTATACTAGAGTGGTTTGAAAGAGAAACAGCTTAGTTGAATGTAAAAAAAACAATAACTCTTAACGACCAGTGGTGCTAGCATTTTTACATGAGTTAGCTCACTTTCCTCTGCCAATAAATGCACTTCAGAAACAAGAACTGATCAAGACTTAATCAGGAAAAGAATCATCATTCGATTCCCCAGACTGAACAGTGACATCATAAGACTGAATCATAGCATAGAACCGACTCTGAAACAAATGTGACACCAAGTGAAGACACAGCAGTGTTTACAGTATGTATATATACATTATTTATATAGTATATTCAATGCTAACAGTCAAAGTAAGAAGATAATTACCCTACTGTTGGTCATTATTGCACATGATACTAAAGATGCTATATTGAAGTATAATTGTTTGAAAAGTTTAATGTTAGATTCAAAATGATCACATTTACTTTTGAAAATCATTTTTGTTGTTGCTCTTTATCACAGATGTTTTAAAATCTTTGTTAAATTTGAAAATGGATTGAAACTTCCAATAAGTATGTTATTCTCCAAAAAAGCATTGTTCCAACGTATTAGGAAAACAAACACTAGTTCATTGGAGCAGTTAAATGAACCAGCTTGTGAATAATGTACACAGCTAAAGGATAGAACTTCCTCCATTTGTTTACAGGAACACATGTATGTGTTTTATATATGTTGTAATCAAAGACAGCATTATTGTTGTATGTTGTTGAAATTGTGTTTTTTGATAATAAAACATTAAGTCATTTAATCCTGTACATGTATATTTTACAATAGCTATATTGACTCACTTTAATAACTATTGTAAGAAGATGACCATGATAATAACCAGCAATAAAATATTGTTTCAATAACTTGAGGTTTGAATGCTCCTTCGATATATATCACTCCACTGGATTGTTTTTAGCCTGTTTATTTAAAAAATAAAAACAGCTGATTACAATGTCTCTCGACTGAACACATGTAGAGTATTTGTGCATGAATTCAAACGATGAATATTTGGCGTTATATCAGTTAATATAGTAGCGAGCAACAAAGAGAGAGCTTTACCCAGAATGCCATGCACCCCTGAAACAATTAATAGTGGTCCCCTTTCAATACATTACACAGTATGTGAAACACAGACAGACAGAATGACAGTCTCTGAAGATAGAACTATGGATATTTTACTTTAGAGTCAAATGTTCCAAACTGTAGACAAGACTTAAAATGACCATACTGAGGTACCAACATAGTGATGAAGTTAGATATTTGGGTATGTCAGAGCGGTGCAGTGATGACGTATTTGTGTAGGTCGGACTGGAAATTAGCATCGCAAGGGCTATCACAACAAAAAGCAATTGGATTTCAGAATATTGCAGAAAAAATACATTTTGTGTCAAACACACGTAAATGTTACTTATCACGTTTTGTTCAACAGGATAACATATTAACACAACACAGCGTTTTAAGTAAATGCGATCGGCAGCAGTACAAAGTTAACGTAATGATATAAAGGAACTAGATCCCGGTCACATGGCTGCGGACTTGTGTCGGCGAGACGACGTTTAGCAGTCTCATTTAGCCACTTGTTAGCAACTGCCTTTTTTACACACATGGCAGCTTCAGACATTCACGAGTGGAGTTTTTGCTGACTTATTTTATGTTGTAGAACAAAACATGAAACATTTCGTACGATTGTGTTAACCACAGACCTTAATCCAGGCTTCTGGATGCACTCTGGATTCAACTTGGACCTAAACTGGCAAAAATAGAAGAATGAGCCAAGAAAGATTGAAAAGTTCCAGTCATAACAATGGGGATCTAAAGTACAGAGTGTTCACGAGAGCTAACAGCTGAGAGAGTCCCAGTGTCACGTGACTTCCAGCCCAAGGCCACATGTGTGAGAGGTTAGGAGAAAAGTCGTCCACTCCGAAGGCAGAGGGACGGGGGTGATCCAAGCTGAAGAAGTTCAGCATGCAGCAGGGCCAGAGACTCTCCTCACTCCTCCTGAGAGAGAAGCAGAGAGTCAGTCAGATACCTGCCACCGTGGAATTCTGCTGCCACTTCCTGTCTCACTGAGGTTTTGTATACATGAGGTTCACACTTAAGAAAAGTCTTTATCCCTTTTGGTACAAAGTGATTCAGTTAGCATACTGTCTTACAGAATCAAACAGCTACAATGACAGCAGCTGGTGGAGTTTGTTCTCACTTGGAGTGTTTGGTCAAATGAAACACAGACTTTCTGTCCTGTGAATGATTCAAGAGAGAATAGAACCCTGGCTACATTAGGGCTATAGAGTGGTAGATTGATCATGTATTCCTGTAAGACAATCTGGAAGTAAGCATTGCCATGGCTCCTTAGACAAAAGGAAATGGGATTATTCCAATTAATAAATATTGCAGGAAATAATCTCAGCGGCAAACAAACCTTTATGATACTTTCACATTTTGTTGAAAGGCAATACACAGAATACAGCATGTAAACTGAGCTAAAGGCTAAGCTAACTTGCTACTGTTTGTATGACACGGAGAAGCTTCCCACATACCAGTGGGGTATTTACTGACATCATTATGTTGTAGAACAAAATGTCAAAACTGCCTTCAAAAAGCCGTTGACTTTGAGACAGAGGAGAGAAAGTGCTAAAATGCTAACTTATTTCCAGGATGCAGGTCTCATTCCTGCACCGCGATAACTATAAATAAGGTAGGTTTTATTAGCCCCAGTATTTCATCTTGGGTGAGATTTGGAAGGTGTCTTCCTCACCCACTCGTCCTCCTCCGCTCCCTCTCCCTCTCCCCCGGGCATCTGGGAGCTGGCTCCCTCCGTTTTGTTGGCCAAGATCTTCTCCGTCCACGATGCTCCGGCCTTCTCATCTCCAGCGAAGTTACACTTGGTCACCGTGCCACCGTCCACCTCGGCTAAGGAGACTGGAAGACACAATGAAGGTGGAAAGTTCATTGATTGATTGAGCCAAAAGAAAAAGACAACACAAAAACGTAAAACAACAAAATGAACATAATTCAAGGAAACAAAGGTACGTCAGCATACAGATCTTCCGCAGGTGTTCACAGATCTTACGTATTTTACTTTAACATGAAATAATCATGACCAAATAACTGTCAAAGTTTGGAGAAAAAACATTGGGAGTAATTATTTAGTTATCATTTGTTCTTTAACAGTTTATCTCAATTCATCTTTACTTCAAATCTTAGAGTATCCTTTCATTTAATGAGTTTACCGGATGCACATTCACTGTTTTCTCCTTTCTATGGTACATTTAAAGCAGTACATCAGCATGGTTTGGCCTCACATATGAAAGGACTGTTTCCTCTGGTCTTCAGCCGTACTTCCTGTCCCGTCTCCAGTTCGGTTTGCTCCATCTCTGCCTCGGGGTACCAGAAGGCCCAGGTCCCGTCGGGGCGGTGTTTGTCGGTAATCTTCAGCAGCTCAGATTTGTTCACCGTCGCTGACAGCTGATCCTCAGAGAGACGGTCCGACTCGCCTTTAGCTTCCACCTCTGAGGACACAACATGTTTATAAAGCTGATGAAGTTAGAAGACACAACAACTCACACTGGCTCTGAAAGCTCAGCGCACTGCAACTTTAGAACAGTCTACAGCCAGATGGAACAACACAAGCAAATAATAAAAGCATCTTCCCCAATTAGACAACACATTTGCAGAGAGAAAGTCAGAAACGCGTAATCTCCCCAACATGAAGCATGTGGTTCATGTTGTGCTCTGTGGTTCCTATTTTCGGCATTACTGACATAGGTTAGCGTGGCAAAAATAAGCAAAGTGATGCATACAGAAGATTTTCCCTGTGTATATTCAGTACATACAGCTCCGGAAAAGAATCAAGAGACCACTCCACATTCTTCTTAAATCTCAATCTCTACATGTATGGCAGCCATTCCATTCCAGCGTCTGTTGAATTCCAACTCGGAGAAGTGTTGTCAGTAGTTTAGAGAATAAAATACAAAATAAAATCATTTTACTCAAACACATACCTATAAATAGTAAAACTAGAGAAACTGATAATGCTGCAGTGGTCTCTTCATTTAATAAATGATAAATGATTATGCATAACAAATATGAGTGATGTGTGATTATTATTCATGCTATATACTGATATAGGGCTAAGTAAGCAATCAATCCTGCAAATTAACCCTTAGTTGTTCAATATATTTATTCAGACAATGTGAGTAGAAATACAGAAATTCTGCTCCCACCTAAGGCCAACGTTGCAATATTGCAACATTTCCCTAAAAACGTACCAAAACGTAAACATTTTTAAAACTCTTTCATTTCTTTTGATATGTGGGTGGGCTCTGTTAGAAGGTGCGACGGGGGGGGGAGGGGAGAGAGTTAGACACTCGTGAATTGTCAACGGGGGGGGGGGGGGTGTTGTCGGCCGTAAGCGAACCGGGCCGTTGGCGTCCGGCCGTTCTGTGATACTCCAGAACTCACAGCTGGCCAGGGATAAGTCCCGACTCTCCCGACAGCCAATCCGTGCCTCCCCTGACTGCACGTTGCTGACACACACCGCTGCAAACTCTCTGCACGGAGGAGCCGCGGAGGAAGAGACACACGTTCACTAAGCCGAAAAAACTATATCCGGTCTGCTATTTTAAAGTAAATTCAAATTCAACACATATCGACCCTAAATATAGCATATATTAAGAACGAGAAAGTGTTAACATCGTTTTTTGTAAACATATGACAAATGTGCGAGGGTGATGACATCAGAGCATCGTCCTATGGGCTTAGCCCCGGACAGGTACAACAGGTATTCACTCAGAGGGGGGTAGGTACTAAATGCCACCCATTTACATGTAGGCAAACAAAGTCAAAAATCAACATACAGTAGGAGGGTGGGGGATGGTGAACGGTATGTGGGACACTGAAAAGTCTATGTTAAAAAGCCTCAGTCACCTTAATTCATGTAATAAAAACATCTCAGGTCAGTAACACTGAAAGCTAAATGTGCAATAGCATGTTCAGCTATGTTACTATTTATAATGTTATTACAACAGAAGATGTTTTTCTTTATATTGAAGTTAAATGCATCAATCTGGTGCACTTTGAGGTCAAAATTAAGAGATTTATGGATACCGCTGGAAAAAGCTGCAGTACATATGCCGAGCCTGTACGTAGCGCTGTAACTTCCTCCACAAAAGCAGCCTTCTGTTTATTCAACGTGGTGGGGGCCGAGGGAACCGGGCAGAGTTTTTCGCCGGTCAACGTGTGTGAAAGTTTAAATCTTCCTTATTGAGCTTTAAAACAAATGAATAACAACTATATATAATAATAAAATAAACACCGGCTGTTGTTATGCCTGCTGTAACGTTAAATTACTCCGTTCTCCCTTAAGTAATTATGCCGTTACAAGCTTCATAGTTGTATTTATCATCTAAATTTGCCGAAACAAGTTTAATATTCTGAAAGCCAAGACTTTGTTTATTTGAAATCAGATGAAAACAAACTGTATTACTATGCCTTACGGTGCGTCTACACAGCAGCGTTAAAAAAATCTTGAAACGCTTCTGCCCATTCACTTTGAATGGGGTGACGTCACTTTCCCTCACTTTTCGCCGAAATGCATTGTGGGCAGGCGAGCAGAGATTTTCAGGATTTTCAGGATTCAAAGTTGAACAATGTTCAACTTTTGAGGCTGAGGTGGAAGCGTCAGCCAATCAAATCCCGTGTACGCAAATCTGACAGTTCAAGCTCTAGCCAATCAAACGGCGTGTATGCTGGGAGAGACATACCGCAGGTCATTTCCTCATATTCCAAAAAATGGAGGAGAAATTAGCGGTAGCGAATCAATCACCCGGTGCTTTATGACCAGACCTACCGGGATATAAACCGGAGGAGCCAGGCATGGAGGGAGGTGGCAGAGACAGTGGTATGTTTTTGCCTGTTTTGGGGAGTTTATATCCAGTTTACTTCGGCCTTTTTTGCTTCGTATGTCGCGGGCGGGAGATTCATGTGATTGGTTGTTCGCAAAAAATCCCCAAGCTTCAGATACGCCCACCTCCAAGATTTTTTTAACGCTGCTGTGTAGACGTACCGTTACTGTACATTCATAATTTCAGCCGGAGGGAGGTGGGCGGCGCTGCGGAGGAGCAAATTGCGAGTGAGAGGTGCCCGTCATCTTCCCTTTACAAGCTTCACAAATGTATTTATCGTGTGATTTTGGAAATAAAAGTTTCATATTCTGAAAGCCAAGACTTTGTTTATATATTATACGTGGGTAGCTATGACGTCAGAAGGAGTTACCGTAAATGAGAGCTGCCGTAAAAGTGTTTCTAGGATTTCTAAACGAACTATTACAGCTGTTATAAAGCATTAAATAAAAAGTCATGAAAGAGATAAGGAGGAGAAAAGGTTTAAGGAAGTAAGCAAGGAATACAGAATGTCGAAATCCTCTGTTTCACGCGATGTCGAACATTGAAGACAGAGGACGGCGGTCCCCCAATCTACACAGCGGGAGAACGAAGATCATAAAGCAGATCGGAGGAGACATCACGATCTTTCCCACATTAGTGCAATTCACCTATACTTAACCCCAAATAAAAGAACCCAATAAAAACAGTTGTTAAATAATAGTGAAGTCACGTTGTAATAATAACTCATCTCTCGGTTTGAGTGTTCTTTTTCTGCTTTTCTGACTATTTCTCATTGTGGGGAAAAATAACACCCAGGGTCCTGATCGTTTTACTGAAGTTGAATACAGAATATTCATATTTGTCAGTGATTTCATGTCAATTCGGCGAACATAAACATAAATGATCGTGGTGAAGATGATGATTAAATTAGGATTAAAAATCGGGAGAGCCGGCTGCATTTCCTCTCGTTCGTTTTTTTCGACTAAACAACATTATTTTGTTAAATAACAACATGGTGATGTTTTGTAAATGATTACATGTCTTATTTAGCACAGACTATGATCCTATCCGTGACATATGGATCTTAACAAAGATCCGCTATACATTAGTACCAGACATACTGTACATCCAGCTTACTGTATCGAAGTTGATTTCACATGAGCTCCAGTGTGGAACCCCACTGCACCCCCTGGTGGATCAATGATCCATTGCAGCTGGCTTCACAATAATTAAATGTATTTATCACGGGGGCGGTATCAAGTCAGACTGGGGGCCGGCTCTTCATCACGAACCGATCACGGGCCGATCACGGACCAATCACGACCCAATCACGACCCTCGCGTTTCAAACTGTCTGAAATAAGATGCTCCATCTGTACCTGGTAATAAACCCGTTTCTGATTCTGATTGGCATTTTTAAGCCAGTTATATCCAAAAATCTGAACATAACCTTTTCCAGAACAGGTTAGCACTACAGTGCAGCATAAGTTGCCATGGCGATCTAGCCAGGTTAAAGATGATCTTTGTAACAAAGTCAACTCTTTAGGCCTAGCTTAAATAGCTAACTGACTAATCTAGCTTTGCTTAGTTGTGATCGCTCACTCAACATCCCTCATAGCATAGTTGGCAGACAGACGAGTTTAATAAACACGCATCATAAACTCAAATGTGTGATCCACTCACTGTAGGAGGACATGAGGAAGCCAGTGTTGACCTTCTTGGTGTCGCTGAAGTTCGGCTCCACCTCCTTCCCGCTGGCATCGAACTTCCTCTGGTGGACGCGGCTGGGCCTGATGTACAGCACATAGAAACGGGCCTGCCAAGAACAGACACAGTGAGGCTCGTTTTCATCTGAGAGTGAGGTTCAGTCTGTCCAAAAGACTAACGCTGACAACGATTAGGTAGTCTTCGGGAGGTCTTTCTCCCACAATAAAAGAAGGAAGGTTAGACATTTTACCTTTTGATTGTTGCAATCAGTGATCGCATGTCTGGAAACATCCAGCAGCTTTCCTTCTAGAAGAACCCCCGGGCCACTAAATGGAAAAATAAAATGATATTGACACTTGTGTAAAAGTACATTTCATGTAAACATCAAATATCAGCCATGTACATACCCTTTAATAAATCATTTGATAAATAGGTGTAAACTGTAAGACCACATTAAAACAACAAAAGTTGTAAAGGACATTACAGATCAAATCAACAGAATTTAGAAGTTTAAAGGTCCCATGATATGGCCATTTCTACTGATCATAATTCCATTGTTGAGGTCTACTAGAATAGATTTACATTGTTCAATGTTCCAAACTCACATTGGTTTCTCACACAGCATCTCTGTATAGTCGGTGTATTCACTCTCTGTCCTACACGCCTTGTTGGAGCTCCTGCCCCTCCCCCTCCCTATGCGCCCACTCTGTTCTGATGAGTCCACCACCGTTACAGCGGAATATCAGTGATTATGTGTTACAATGGCGTTTGTTAGCAACCAGAAAATGACACCAGTAATGACAAACAGATGAGAATGCTGCGTGGGGTCTGGGTGCCGTGTTGGCGGGACGTTGGGGGCTCGCTGCTCCGCCCTGTGGGGCTCGAGGTAATTACCGGAAAAGCATGACATGGGACCTTTAACATAAAAGGCTTTCCTCATGAGCATTTCATTGTGTGTTTATTGTACATTAAAGGAGATTAATCGGATAAGACCTGTTACAAAAGCAACCGTGCATTGGGTTTATTTTAGGAGAATTATGTTCAAGAGCTTTAAAATGATGAACTCCCTTTAAGATAACCCTGTACAATGGATGTTTACAAATATATATATATGGCAAATGAAACCACAGCAAGCTCAATTCTTTATTTGTACAGGTGTTTTTAACTTTAAAGCTATAAAGTGGTGTCAAACTAGTCTAAAGGCATAGAGTGTATACAGTGGTGTAAAGTAACTAAGTACTTTTACTCAAGTACATGTACTTAAGAACAATCTTGAGATAATTCTACTTTACTTGAGTATTTCAATTTCTTGCTACTTTGTACTTCTACTCCACTACAATTCAGAGGTAAACTGTGTACTACATGTAACCTTTAGTTACTTTACAGATGTGGATGAATGATGTGAAATATAATCAAGTGTTAAATCAGACTTTAGTTCCACCTGATGATGTGAAATATAATCAAGTGTTAAATCAGACTTTAGTTCCACCTGGAGTAAATTCACAAGCTACCCTGCAGTATACAAAGTCATTCAAACTAGCTGCACCTTTACCAGCTTTGAGAACACTTTAATGATCAATCATTATAAAACATATCATATATATTATTCTGAAATGGACCAATCTGCACAATCACTACTTTTGCTACTTTAAGTAGATTTGACACTAACACTTTTGTAACATTTTGATTGCAGGCCTTTTACTTGCATTCCTACACTCTGATACTTCTGCTTTTACTCAAGTACAAGATCAGAGTACTTCTTCCTCTGACTGTATATAACATATGTAAAGAAGGCGTTAGCTAGCAGGAACTAAACACCTTTTCTGTCTGAGATTACTATGGCTCTCTGGAGATTCACTTTAATGCGGAATATCCAAACCCTTCCAGAATTATGCGTTAGAGGTGTGTGGGACAGGTGGGGCTAGGTCTCAGTGAGTGGTTCTGTCTCAGTGAGTGGTTCTGTCTCAGTTCGGTTCTGTCTCAGTGTGGTTCTGTCTCAGAGAGTGGTTATGTCTCAGTGAGTGGTTCTGTCTCAGTGAGTGTGGCACAGTGGACTAGTGCGTTGGTGTTCGGATCAGGGGGGCACAGGTTCAAACCCCACTGCAGTCAGCATGTCGTTGTGTCCCTGGGCAAGACACTTCACCCCAAATTGCTCCTGTGGGGATTGTCCACAGTATTGAATATGTAAGTCGCTTTGGATAAAAGCGTCTAACAAGTAACATGTCTCAGTGAGTGTGGTTCTGTCTAAGAGAGTAGTGTGGTTCCGTCTCAGAGAGTGGTTCTGTCAGTCTCAGTGAGTGTGGTTCTGTCTCAGAGAGTGTAGTGGTTCTGTCTGTGGTTCTGTCTCAGCCTACCTGTGATAGGAGGACGGAGCCCACGCGCGCTCCACCGTCTCATTGTGCACCGGTTTGTTCTGTAAGGACGTGTTGTGATAAATCCGGCTCATCTTTCACAAACTGTTCTGTAACTTTTCCCGTCAGTTCTGTCAGATTGTTCCTGTTTCCTCCTCATTTCCTGTTCCTGCATGTAGCCGCGTGAGAGAGGTGCGCTCAGTTTTCGTCCCAGCACGTGCCGACGGGAGACAGCCCTGAGGCGAACATATGCTTCATTCAGCGATAGACAGGGTCTATCATTGATACAAATAATGATTAAAATATTTCATTTTGTACAGGTAAAACACAATAGAGGTTGCTGGTATGCAGAGGTGGGAGAAGTAGCCTACTCAGATCTTGTACTTAAAAGTAGAAGTATCAGAGTGTAGGAATACTCTTGTTACCGTAAAAGTCCTGCATTCAAAATGTTACTCAAGTAAAAGTAGAAAAGTATTCATCAAAATATAGTCGGTGTAGCACCGCGACAGTAAAAGTGCAGATTGGTCCATTTCAGAATAATATAAATGATGTTTTATAATGATTGATCATTAAAGTGTTCTCAAAGCTGGTAAAGGTGCAGTTAGTTTGAATGACTTTGTATACTGCAGGGTAGCTTGTGAATTTACTCCAGGTGGAACTAAAGTCTGATTGAACACTTGATTAGATTTCACATCATTCATCCAGATCTGTAAAGTAACTAAAGGTATTAAATACATGTAGTACACGGTTTACCTCTGAATTGTAGTGGAGTAGAAGTACAAAGTAGCAAGAAATTGAGCTCTGCATGATCACCTGCAGCTCCGCCCGCTGTGATGGAGCGATGAGCGGAGCAAAACACACACTTCAAGTCAGATCATCACCCTTAGTTATTTTAATTACCTCTCAAACTACCTAAACTAGTTATAAATATGTTTATTTTTACTGTCGGGTCACTCATTACTGGATCAGCCAGCTGCATGAGACGGATACTGACGGGCTGTCAGGAGAGGGGGAGGAAAAGAGAGACTCCGTTTTTTATTCTCACATTATTATATAGAGTCGTTATCAATTTGTTTTAAAGCTCAATAAATAACAAAGAAGACCTTTGACCGGCACTTTTCTAATTTTGTCCGGAAGATTTAAACTTTAGCGGACATGTTGACCGGCGAATAAAACAGAAGGGCAACCAGGCAACCATGCTTGGGAGGTCTTCTTCACTGCTTTGGTGTATTTTGTAGCGGAAGTACAGCGCCACTTACAGGCCCGGCATATGTACTACAGCGTCTCCAGCGGTCTCGTGTGGACGGACACGTTTATTGAGCCGATTGCGTGTGAACGGAAGACTTTTTTGATATCGAATTCGGTTCATTTTCGTTTCCGTCTCCGTGTAAATGGGGCCTTATAGAAAACATCAAAGATAACTCACATGACAACACAACATCATGTGAGGCCAGGTGTTTGCCCCATGGTAGAGTACTGTATGCGAAAACTCACACTCTACAATGAACAATGGAATATACAGATAACCCCTATCGTAAATTCCTTCCACTCATTCTCTCTTCCTGTAGTGTCATAAAACCCCCTTGTCCAAACACATCTGTTTATCACACATACATTTAAATGCCATTTCCAGGATGCAGCAGTTCACATTTCATTAGGATTACACTGTATTAAGCTTTAATACCACAATTGCCATAACAGTCCTTTCAATGAATCCATATCTCAGCCTAGAAAGTTAAAGTTTTAAAGGTCACCTAGGTACAGGAGGACAGAGCAGCCTCCTCTGTATACTGTAAACAGTTTTCCACTGTGTCTGTATTCTCATGTCCTTCGAACTCGTTTGGCATTCCTTCGTTCTTCCTCTACCTCTCCAGGCTCTGCAGATACAGAGGGTTTAGGTTTCAGGGCTTGTTTTGTGTTGAGGGACTGTGGGGGTCTGCAGGGAGGTCCAGAGTCCAGATCTTCAGCGTGGGCTGCAGGACAACATCCTGTTCCAGAGACACTGCTGCTGGGGTAGCGTCCTGCTCGCCGCTGAGCACAGAGCTCCAGTTGTTGTGCAGAGGAACCTGTCACCAGTGGAGCGTCCACATCAGAGCAGCTCTCTGGGGTCAGGTCCGGCCTGCAATCACTGCTCTGCATTAGATACAAAAAAGAGGAGAGTCTGAGATCTAACCTCCCGAAGACTACCTAATCGTTGTCAGCGTTAGTCTTTTGGACAGACTGAACCTCACACTCAGATGAAAACAAGCCTCACTGTGTCTGTTCTTGGCAGGCCCGTTTCTATGTGCTGTACATCAGGCCCAGCCGCGTCCACCAGAGGAAGTTCAATGCCAGCGGGAAGGAGGTGGAGCTGAACCTCAGCGACACCAAGAAGTAACCCTTCTTGGTGTCCTAACCCTAACCCATCTAACCCTAACCCACTTCCAACCAAAAGAGATTGATGCAAAGTGAACAGAAACAAACACCAATATGTTCTACTCTGTTAAAGCTCATGATGGTTTTCCATTGTTGGACATGTTGATTCAACTCAAGCTTCATTTTTGGGATGTGTTGCCAAACAAGAAAAACTGCATGCACCGGTTCAAAACAAAGCATTCTTTTAACCCTAGTTTGTTTCCCCTTCCCTGTAGTGGGGAGTGTAGTCCCCAAAGTTCCCTCCAGAGGGAGTTGTTTTTGCATGAGATTCAATCAGAATTAGAAAGGTATTGGAGACAAACATCTACTTTGATTGGGATGAACTTCTTTTAATGCTTCTACATGTGATACCAACACACCCCAAAACAAAATACCTACAGTATTTGGAACACTGAGTGTAAATACTAAAAAAGTAATGACATAAACTGGACTCAGAAGATGGTTCCATATTATACACAACATCTTAGTGATGGAAAGAATCACTTCCTCCGAGAGGCTTCAGGAGAATACATTTGAGGAAGCTTTGAAAAAGTGGAAGCATTCTATTTTCCCAGAGACGGCTATCCTCTGCTTGAATATAGTACCTGTTGAATTTGATTGTTTCTTGTTTCTTCCTTTTGTTTTGGTTATGCTCTGGTTGTGTATAATTATACTGGAAAGAAACCTAAGAGATGGATTACTGTATAGATCAAAATGATGATAATTTTGTACATTTTTTAATATTAATACTCCATAATAATAACTCCAAATAAAGAACTGCTTATTGAATCTCCAGGAGTGTTCAGGAATGTGATTTAGTTCAATTCTTTAGAAAAATGCGTGCACCCACCTTCAGAGAGGAGTCATTATTCCTCTGAGTGTCTCCTGGTGTGGGACCACTCTCCTCCTTGATACCTAAGAGAACACAAGTTCATAGAATCAGATCAAGGATGTACACTAAACACTAAACAATGCTGATAAATATCTGTGTGTACAGGAAGTGTAGCGTCCCAGCTGGATGCTGAGCCAGATGTTTCGTCGTTGGGTCCACCCCCCCGGAGCCTCCACCTCGTACAGACTCTCCAGATGTTCTTCATGCTGCTGCAGAAAACTCCTGCACACTGGAGGAGAGAGGACATGATGTATATGTTGAGACTTCTGGGTTTATTGCCATGAGAGATTGAAATAAACAATAACAGTGTAACCCTAACCCTATGAGAGCTTCTAAGTATTTTTACCTTGTGTTATTACCATATTTAAATAACCTTGGACAATTTGTATATATTGTGGCTTTGGGCTTTGAATGTGTGATTAAGGTATGAATGAATGAATGTTGAATGTTGCTGTGTGAGTTCCATTTTTTTTTTTTTGGCTTTAAAAAAAATTGTAGAGCATCTTTAAAAAACAAAACCTTTGTAAAGCACTTGTAAAAGCTCAGATTTTTTATTTGTATTATTATTCATATTATTCTTATTAGGTACATAGTATCTTGTGTTCATATAACTTGTTTTAGTCAACTTAGCTGTTGCTATAACAGTGTATTTGAACATATTTTTTATATTGCTGATTGTGTATTTATATTTCTACTATACGCAACGCCCCCAGCCACTGGGATCCGCTGGGTTTTCGGTTGGAATCCGCTGGGTGGAGTCCTATCTGGAGTGCTACATCTGTATATATGTATTGGTGGGAACCGAGGAAAAAAAATGTTTTCCAATCTTCTTTATTTTGTATATCCTACCTATTTACCTATTTTGACACTTTTCAGTCACATCTGTTCCACCTTAGGTTGGTGTTAAATTCAGATAAGACAAAAGTCATGTTGTTTTCCAATAAGAAAAGGTTACCAACTGTTCTTCCCTGCATCATGTCTGCACAGCATAACCCCATTGAAGCTGTTAGCACCTACAGATACTTAGGCATTACTATAGATGACAATCTCTGCTTCAAACCACATATTGACAATCTCTTAAGGAAATTGAAATTAAAACTAGGATTCTTTTTTAGAAATAAGGCCTGCTTCTCCACAAGTGCGAGGAAACGGCTTGTAGCTGCCACATTTTTGCCGCTCTTGGACTACGGGGATGTTGTGTACATGAACGCCTCAGCTCACTCCCTTCATCTGCTGGACGCTGTCTACCATGGGGCTCTGAGGTTCATAACCAACTGTAAACCCCTCACACCCCACTGCACGCTGTCTACCATGGGGCTCTGAGGTTCATAACCAACTGTAACCCCCTCACACACCATTGCACGCAGTACTCTTTAGTCAACTGGACATCATTATCAATGCGCAGATCACTGCACTGGTACAAACTCATCTATACCGCTATGCTTGGACTGCTGCCCCTCTACATATCCACTTACATATCACACAAACAGTACAGCTATAGCCTACGATCTCAAAATGACATCACTCTGTCCGTCCCCTCAGTTCGCACGGTGCTTGGGAAAAAAGCCATATCATACTCTGCCCCCTCGACCTGGAACACACTTCAGCAGGAACTTAAGCTGACCAGTTTGATACCCATCACGGATTTTAAACTCATTTTAAAAAAGCTGGAGAAATCATCTGTGGGTGTTTGCACCTGCTATATCTGAATACTTTCTATGGATTTCAATGACTACTTTTTTTACGATGTTGTATTTTATTGTTGCCTCTGTGTTTAGTGTCCTGTCTGTCTGTAACTTTGTGTGGTAGTGTTACCACTGACAGGTCTCTCTTGCAAATGAGACCTTGTGTCTCAATGAGATTTACACCTGTATAAATAAAGGCTAAATAAAAAAAAAAAATGTAGGGTTAAAAAACATCTTGCAATTTAGACTTTTTTAAATGTTACAGTATGTCCACTGTAGAGGACGTCGGGACCATTTTAGTTTGAAAAGACAGCCACAATGAACAGATAGACTATGTAATGTATTATGGTTATAGAGTGATATTAATACAAGAATACATTCACCTTTATTTAAAACATAAATAGGTAATTGATCTGAACATTGCTGTTTATTTGGTTACTAAAAAACTAGTTTTTGGTGAATCTTTCCAGATCTTCAAAGACTTTGTAGTCAATGTAGTGGGAAAAGTACCTCATTGACTCCAGTCGGCACGGGCTGTAGGGTCATCTTGACTAGTTTTATGGATGTGGTCTCCATTTGACCATGCTCATAGAAACAAAGCTTGCATTCCTGAGGCAATTCTCATTTTTCATGGCTCCACTTAAAATGAAAACAACAATAAGACATACATGCTACTCTTGGCCCACAGAGGGCCATGTCTTTCCAGCTCGTCCCTATCTGTCTCTCTGTCTGTATCTGTGCGCTCATGGAGCCTCCTGCATCTTTCCCCCCCTTCTTCTTGACCCTCTTCTACCCCAGGTGTGAAAGCCTCATCTCTCTCATCATCTGAGAGCTCAACATCTGAATCTCCCTTAACTATCTGGTACAGAAAATGTCTGCTTCAGTTCCGTCTCCTGCAACAATATTGAGTCATTAAGTCCATGAAGATGGTCCTGACGTCCACTAGAATGGACATTTATAAAAGAGCTGTTATTTCAAAACTTGAATCATTTAATTGCTTTCAGAACTAATTATATAGTTCCTCACATGTTAATAAACAAGAACATATATGATTTTCATGGTAAAAATTACAATTATTCAACAATATTTGACTTCTCCTCCTGCTTCTATAACATTTTGTTTTTGGTATGCCAGCCATTTTGGATGAAAAGAAAGAGGAACTTCCCAGCATGCAATTTTAACCACTGACATATCACTGGAAAGACCAGAATGTCCTCTGTACAGTACATCAGGGATTGATAGAGTAGCTCAAAAGAGTAAAAGGAGATGCATGTTAACAAAATGTCCCCTACAGTGGACATTTTCAATGGGCTGGGTCCCAGGAGGATATAGCTAGATAGATTTCTACAGTCGAAATGTATTCATTATCTAATGTACATTTTTAGTTTTAGTTTATTATAAATGTTTTTTAAATGAATGTAGTTCATCTGTTTGATTCTATTATTTTTCTATTTATTATATTCTATTCTATAAATAATGATGTATTCTTCTGCCAAATATGACGACATCTCACCTAGATAAGAAATAACAGAATGGAGGGAATAGAAGTAGAATTGAATTGGATCATTTGGCTCTGATATAGAGAGGGTCAGCTGACCTGCCACCATGCTGGGGGATAGCGGAGCGCTGACTCCCAGGATCTCCTCTGTGGAGAAGGAGGAGCAGAAGTCCTCCAGCATGAGGAGCCCCAGGCCCCTCCTCCTCCAGCCCCTCCTCACCAGCAGCGTGTCCAGAGCAGGCAGCAGGTAGCAGCGGCTGCTCCAGCCGTCACACAGGCTGCCTGAACACAGGGGGGGGGGTCAGAGAACCACCACAGAGGAAGAGTCAGGCTCTGCAGAACACAGCTCTACCTGTACAGGAGGCCTGCCAGCCCTGTAGGAAACCCTCTAACATAACCAGGAACTAAAGAGGGAATCATTTCGGTACAAAGAAGTCAAATCATCCAATATATTACAACAACTTCAACAAAAAAAGTATTTTGTTTATCAAAATTGTGTTTGTTATTAAATGCTACTACTGTAGATGGTACAATATTAACGAATGCAATTTATATAATATAACACATATGGAGGACATTTTTCTGAATAATGAGTACTTTTGATACTTTAAAGGTAGGGTAAGTAAGTTTGAGAAACCGGCTCGAGATCGCTAGAATTTGAAAATACACAACCGGAGAAAATCTGCCACTTCCTTACAGAGCCCCTCCTCCAACACACACGAACGTGCACATGACCAATGAGGGCACAAGATCAATTTGTGCACAGATGGAAGGCTGACAGGCAGGTAGGCCATCCAGTTATTTTAGCCGGGCCGGCTAAAATGATTGGTCGTGCTTTTTACAGTACTACGGCTTCCATAGATGATATTTTTGTATGGATTTTTTGTCAAAGCACTTAAGATATTCATTGCTATCGGGATGTTCAGAGCATTCCATGGAATAAAACAAGAAGTGTATCTCGAGCCGGTTTCTCAAACTTACCTACCCCACCTTTAAGTACATTTTGCTGATATAACTTTTGTACTTTTACGTAAGTGAGACTTTGAATGCAGGACTTTGACTTGTAGTGAAGTAATTTGACATTCATGTATTTTTACTTTGACTAAAGTAAAAGATCTGAATATTTCTTCCATCACTCAAACTAAGAAACACCAACCTGAACTCAGTTAAAACATGTTATGCTGTGGATAAACAAGAAGACATCTGGTTTGCATGTTGTTCTTGCATCATCTTCCCCAGTGTGTAATCCGTACTCGTGGTTGTGACCTCTTGTTGCTAGTAAGGCTATTGTTGATGTGAATTGTTGTAACTTCCAAAACGTTGATTTTTCTTATTTTTAAAAAGTATTATTTGGCCCAGTTTATCTGGTGCGATTGTGTTAACCTTTGTGTTTGATGGTGTAGAAGCCCACCGCCTGGCTGTCTCTCCACAGCAGCTTGCAGCTCTCTGTGCGGGGGTGCAGGGAGAACAACGTCTTCTCCTGAGGGGACCTCTCCAGCACCTGACTGAGCAGGAACACGATCACTCGCTCCATCAGTGACTGCACCTGCAGGACAAATACGGATCAGAGCAAACAGCATGGAACACACAACCTAAAAGAGGCTATTATGCTTCTGGGGCTTTCCCTTTCCTGTAGTGTGTTCTATAGGTTTGTGTGCAAAGGCTCAAATCTCCTGTTCCTCTCCCACACACTCCCCTCTCTGGTTTCAGACAGAGGGTGAAAACAGGTGCTGCAGCACAGGCAGTATGAGAACATGTCACAGTAGAGACACAGACTACACATATGAAACCTGAAAGCAACATAGGGCCCCTTTAAATTACAAGACGATATATTTTTATTAGAATCTGTAAAATTATAGATAGATAGATCAATAAAGTGAATTCTGTTAACAATGCTGCAGATGAATAGATCGCATAAACAGATCAATATGTTTGCTCCCACATTGTTCAGACCGGTAGAGGAAGCCTGGCGTGTTTGTGTTGTAGTGATGCTGACATACAAACAGGTATGTAAAAGCAGTTACCGAGATCAAGCCGTTTCTGTCCTTGCAGCATGTCCTCAACGCGTCGTCCACACTCCACCACTGGTCCTGCAGGTACAGAGCCAGCACTGAAAGACAGAGCACACAGAGTTAGGGTCTGTCTTCAGGGTGTCTGTGGGGGCGAGGGGGGGTCTTCCACACCTTGTGTTGGATCATTAGGAGGGTGCAGCGCCAGCAGCATACAGTCGGACTGATCGTCATCAAACAGCTGCAACCGCCTCACATTGTTTGCTGTGATCGCTACCTGAGGGGACAGAGAGACAACTTCAAAAGGCCCTATTCTCCTAACACTCGAGCTTCTATTGGCTAGCGCTCCAAAACATTTTACGTGATATGCTAAGGGGCGGGACATTTCTAAGAGGTTGACCAATCACAACAGAGCCAGCTAACCAATCAGAGCAGACTGGGCTCTGTTTTCAGACAGAGGGTGAAAAGAGGTGCTGCAGCACAGGCAGTATGAGAAAAATAAAGAGCTTTTTGAACATTAAAGCATGGAGACATGTCCCAGTAGAGACACTAAATACTGATATGAAGCTGAACATGAGCAGGATAGGGCCCCTTTAACCTGAAGACACCAGAGGCCTGTACTACGAAGCCGGATTTTCGCTTAGCCGGCTAACTTCAGGGAAAACTCGGGCTTTCCGGTCCTACGACGCTGGTTCTCTTTTTAGCGGGCTAGATCTCCATGGTAACTTATGCTGAGCGGCTAACCTCCTCGGGAGCAGGTTAGGTTGCAGGCTAAGAGATCAACTCAGTGAAAGCACCGCCTAACATTAAGTACAGTCCGCGGCACTGTGAGTGCAGACGTCGATGTGTCCCATTATCATTCATATCATATCACATCATAATGTATCATATATTTCCTTATCTGAGTCAGCTTCTTGAGCCGTATCTGGCGTGCAACACTCACAGTGTCACATACTGTATGCAGAAGTATTATTTTAAGCAACACATTAAGTTGACGAAACACTCGAGTCAAATGTAATTAAAGTCAGATCCACTCGTGTCTTAGACGGGGCAGTGATATCATAAACCTGTTTAATGTACGCATTCAAACGCTTTTTCTTTTACCAGCTGTATTCACCTTGCAGGTGCAGCTATGTGGCTTTTATCCTGGATAAAGTGTTTAAGTCATGGATGTTTAAAGTTTAACTTCTTCATATTTGACTAATATTAAAGTTCACTTTCATTCAGGAAGTATGACGCTGCGCTGTCAGTACGCTTGTCCATGTTTGAGATTGGTCGAATGCTCCAAATACCACCCCTTTCATGTGAACGCGCACCTAACTAGATAGGACACGGCTGGCTTGAGCGATCCACTTGATAACCAGCGTCGTAGTACAGTTTAGCGAGAGCGCGTATGTTTTGGATTAGGCCAACCGGCTAACTCCAACATATCCAGGTTAGGTTGAACCAGCTTCGTAGTACAGGCCTCAGGTTAACAACTAACACTTTCAAATTCTTCCATAAAACAACTTTTACGTGTGTGATTATCAAACACAGTGGCAATAGAAACATTACAATAGCAAATGATGAACCTATGATAAACCTCCAGTAGAACCAAACTTGTGTGCAGATATTTGTCACCATGCTACCAATTGTTAACAGAAACTAAATAAAGAAGTAATAAATGTAAAATATGTTAATAAGGGGGACAATTCTGCCTATATAGTTATGATATTATTATATTGCGCTTACTACAATTTGGATATTGCACTAGTCCCTATTCTGATTTTGATAAAAGTGTGATTATTGTGCAGGCCTTATTATGATACCTTTGAAGTGTGTGATAACTCAAACCACTCCTCATTGTGAGGTCCTGACTCCAGAGAGGAGAGGTAGAGTTCAGATACAGATGTCAGGTCAGTGTCCTCCACAGCTGGAAGGTCCACAGGATACATGGCCTCTCAGAGGGAATACAGCTGTTTAAGGGAAGTTTACACATTTACAACGGTTAAAAAACGAAACACACCAAACATATTCCTTTGGGGTGCCATGGCAAAACACTTAAAAGTGATCCCAACTAAATACATTTAGTGCATTTTACCCTTACAAGTGTCCTTTCACAAGACTCCTTTATCTCTTTGGCTTGTTGTACAAACAGAGTATTAACAGGAGGAGGACTCCATGATCTTTGACATACTTTTAGTTCATTCTAAGTAACTTTAGCCTATCTGTGCAGGTGGAGCTGCTTGTGGTTAAACATTAAGGTTCAGGTCACACAGTTCCATACACATGTGCATGTTTGGTGGATGCTTAGTGTCTCAAGTAAGGATTATTTATACTTCATTACTTCAATGAAGTACATTTACTCAAGTACTTAAGTAGTATTTTAAGTTACTTGTATTTTACCTGAGTATTGTCATGTTATGCCACTTTCCACCATATTTTCTAAGATAATGTTGTACTTTTCTTTACTTATATCTGAGATTTGAATTGTACGTGCTGTATTTTGTGTTGCCTTGTCCCAGACTGCAGATGGAAATGAGCAAACTGCTATAATCTGGTACAAAGCATCTTATCTCTTTGATAACTAAACCAATAAACTAAACTAAACCTTGCAGGACTTTACTAAAGTAATAAAAGGATAGTGTTGTGAGGTTCTTAAGAGACTTCACAGCAGGGCAGCACTGATACAGCAGCATTACTGTGACAGATATGAGTAGTGTTAACATGTGTACTTTGAACTGCTAACTCACTAAATGCTAACAATAACAACATGTCATGACAACATAGCGTTACCCATAGTTGTTGACGCTGACCGGGGAGAAGCGTTCTGTCTAGTGATGTTACGTATTGCACCGAGGCTTCGGTGCGTGTGTCGAGTAATCCCGAAGCTTTTTGTGAAGCTTGTATCGAGGCTTGTATCGTTTTGGGCCAGTGACGTCATCGATGACAAACGAAGCCTCGCTGCCTGTCGATACCACGTGACTGCTTCAGGAAGCGATTCAGATCGGTTGAACCACAACGCTCATATTACCCATGGATGTATAATAAGAACCATATTACCCCTCCTGTACCCGGGCCCGGTGACGCGATGGAATTAAGAGAGCTCAGAGACCATCACCTATATAGAGGTCGGAACATGTCATAAGTATAAATAAATACAAGCATAAATAAATGTAGGAATAAAAACATGAATAAATGAATACATTTAATAAATAGGTTTCAGTGTTTTCAAGTTGATTTATTGTGTGTGCTGTGGCTCAGCTGGAAAGCAGTTGACTCACGACCACAGAGTTCCTGGTTCAACGACCTGTCAATAACTCTTTTTTGTTTGTTTATAAAAGCTACAGCTAAATGAGATAATGTAGTTAAAGGTGGGGTAGGTAATTATGGAGAAACCAGCTGGAGTGCGCTAGAATTTGAAAATGCACAACCGGAAAAGATCTGCCACTTCCTTACAGAGCCCCTCCTCCAACACACACGAACGCGCACATGACCAATGAGGGCACGAGATAAGTTTGTGCACACATGGAAGGCTGACAGGCAGGTAGGCCATCCAGTTATTTTAGCCGGGTCGGCTAAAATGATTGGTCGTGCTTTTTACAGTACTACGGCTTCCATAGATGACATTTTTTTATGGATTTTTTGTCAAAGCACTTAAGATATTCATTGCTATCGGGATGTTAAGAGCATTCCATGGAATATAACAAAAAGTGTATCTCGAGCCGGTTTCTCAAACTTACCTACCCCACCTTTAATAATGTAGTCTTTGATATGGTTTAGCCTTTCTCAGGCTACAACATGGTTAAGTTTACGAATATTATTAAGGAATACAAATCCCTCTTTGCAATGTTTACCAGCCTCCTTAGGCTTTTCAATCACAATCATTAAACTGAAATAAAAACAATATTGTTAACATTGTAGGGCCGAGAGAAGGGAGTCGGAGGCGGTGCAATGAAGGTACGAAGTTAGCTTTAATGAGCAGCAGAAACGCACATGTTGTCGGGTCGCAGCCCAGGAAGACAAAAGAAAGCGAAAGAAAGGAGAACACAGTATATACCAACAACATATATGTCCGTGCGGAAACAATACCCCCAACCTGTAGTTCCATGATTGGATTATGTAACCCAGTGTATTAATCAGTGATCACTACACAAGCCCCCCCAGAATTCAAACATGGCACAATCCTCGCGTCCGGGAGGAAGCACCACAGGGGCCGAGGAGGGCGGGGCCGCAGGCGGGGGCCGGGGCATGGAACGGAGTAGTATGAAGCTGCAGCCTCGGAGGCTGCACTCTCAGGACCACACTCTCAGGACCACACTCTCAGGACCCTAGTTGTTTTGCAACATCGCCACCTAGTGAGCAGGAGACATGAATATGAACGACAACGCAGAGAGTGTGAGTAGTGTGAAGTGCTTTTAAAGTTTTATTTGTTTAACATTAATAACAATTCCGGTGTCTTGAAATGAAGTGTGATTAGCTAACATTAACTATGATAGTCTTAAGGCAATACAAACAAACATCTGTTAGCTTATGATAGCTTCTAACAGTATTAAAGGCACTAAAAACAATTATCTGTTAGCTATAGCTTTCGGCAAAAGCTAATGCTAATAGCATTAGCTTCATTAGCATATTTGATTATTTGTTTAATGAAACTGTAGCGTGATTTTGGCAAGCCCAACTAGGTGTCCTACATTAATTGTTGATTTAATCACTAATTACAGTAAGAGTGTGAGTAATGTGAATCATGTTGTTTGTTTAAAGTTAACAGCTAAATGTCATCTGTTAGCCTATGATGACTCGCTGCAAAACCAACTGTTAGCCTTTTTGTTTATTTGTTTAATGAAACCGTATGTTATGGTTATGTTATTTAGCAGAGGCTTTTATCCAAAGTGACTCACAAAAAACATAAAAGAACCATAATTAACATTAGATTATCAATACAAATAGTTACATAGTCAGTTACATTACGTATTACATTTTTAACAGGGTAATTAGTCATCTGTAACCTACATTTAAAAAAAGTAAACTTCCCAACCCTGATCATTAATTATAGTCAGCTAATTAATTAAACTTCAAAGGATGACAAAAGCATGTCAATATGATCTGTCTGTCCGCTACATTAAATCAGCAGTAGCCTAATATAAGTTCTGTCTTCAGTGTAAATGCTTCTTTAATAGTCATTGTATTACTATTTGAATTCATTGTAAATAATCGTAACTGTGCTGACTGCCTGTTTACTGTTTATCAGACAGTCTCATCATTTTGACATGTTTTGTAATATTGCATGAGGTGTTTTAGTCAGTTATTATGTCGGCCTATTCTGTAGGTTAGAATCTGTCGTGTCAGAATCTAACAATTAGGCCTAATTTATGTCTGTCTGTGAAAGTATTTCAAAATGTTCAGTTTGACCAATTAGGCTCTCTCTTTTTCAAGATGCATATTTCAATCCAAGAAGGGGGCTTCCCGGGGTACTGCAGCTGGAGCTGTTGTCTGGTGGTTGAGGGAACAGCAGACTAGGGATGCATACCGGTTCCCGGTATTACCGAAATACCGGTTACTGGTGGCTACGGTATACCGTACCGAAATCAGATCCGGTTTTCGATACTTTTTTATTTTTTTTTTTATTTTTTTTTTTATAAAAGTGAGGCATAATATCCTTAAACTTGTGCCCAAACCGTCGGAATTACGATGTCAATTTCGCAGTGAAACTCCACAACCAAGTCACTTTTGAAAATCTAAAGTGTGGCTGCATATATGACTGCCAGTCTGAATGGTGGGGTCTGTAACCACTGCCAGTCTGAATGGTGGGGTCTGTAACCACTGCAAGAAGTTTATTTCTGGGAAAGGTGGCAACACATCCAATCTCCAACCAATGCTGTCTCGTATGGCAACCAAGTACCTTTGTGTTCAAGGAAGCAGCGTGCCAAGCGAGAGAGTGTTCAGTTTAGCAGGTGATATCCTACGCTGTGAAAGGGCACGTTTGGATCCAGAGAGAGCAGATATGCTCATCTTCTTGAAGATGAATGCACAAAACTGAACTCTGATGGGATTTGTTTTCTTTCATCAGGCAAATGTTGATTTTAAGGATGCTATTTGTTTTATGTGCAATGCCGAGATCTCATGATCCTTTATGTGTTCTCTGGTCAGTCGAATCTCAGGTTGAATATTAATTACACTGGTGCTATTTTATTTTTCCATTGACACGATGTGCTATTCCCGCCTGATGGTTGTTATAAATGATATTGCAGAATCAGTTTTCTTCATAGATAACGTGTTTTTCATTGTTTGTTCAGTACTAAAAGGTCCAAGTCCCACAATTGAATTTAATATTCATTTGACATGTTAACTATATAATAAAGCACTTCATGGGAGTAATTGCGGGATGATAAAAGGTTTCCCTTATGCAACATGAAAGTATCACGATATGTATCGGTTGAGTATCGGTATCGTTCAGTGGTATCGGTATCGGTATCGGTATCGTAAAAAAGTCAACGATATGCATCCCTACAGCAGACCCCGCCTCACCCCAGTGAAGAATCCACAGTGCCCAATAAATAAAAATGTATTCTGCACTGAAATTCCTCTCGTCAAATTGCATGTTTATCTTTTGCAGCCTGGTGCATAAACACACTAACAGTTGTTTTTGAGTAATCTAGCACCTCTTCAAAGACACATTTGATTTGATTTATTTCGAACGTGTAATACAATAAAAAATATATATATAATAATGAAATGAAACAAGAGAATTATGATACTGTAGAAACATAAGCAGTATCAAATTGATTCAAAGGAGTTTACACTTATTTAACCCCACCCCTTCTCCCAAAAACTAAATTAACAGTTTTGTTTTGTTTTAACAAAATATACATCTAAATGTATGTCTACATACAATATACATTTACAATTATAAATAGATTATATCATTATTACTACAATATATATATATATATATTTATGTTGTATGTCAAATTTGATAAGACAAATATAAAAGACTATCTTTTTACATCTGACATACAAAATACATTTGTTATTAAAAATCAAAAACATATTAACAACAACTTGTTGTTAATAATAATAATAATGTAATTTCAGTAAGAAAAACATATTTTCATGCATTTTTAGATGGTTAATAACAAGCATTACAATGTCTAAAGAGACTCGCAGTGTATGAGACTCAATACTCGCTGGTTGTACTCTTGCGGTCATCCAATCCGCTAGGTGGCGATGTTGCAAAACAACTAGGGTCCTGAGAGTGTGGTCCTGAGAGTGTGGTCCTGAGAGTGCAGCCTCCGAGGCTGCAGCTTCATACTATTGATGGAACGGGCCGTCGGAAGGGGGCCGCAGGAGAGGGTAGGGGCCCTAACGAGGGCGAGGGCATCACCACTGGGGGTGGGGGGCGGGCCGGAACGGGCCGTCGTAAGGGGGCCGCGGTAGGCGTCGTGGCGAATGAAGAAAACCTCCGCCAGCCGTAGAAAACAGGGCCGCTGTACTGCGACGTGGGGACGGGCGTGAATATCCCGGTGGCCCCCAGCAGGGAGGAGCGCTGCCCGGCCGCAGGCGAAGGCACAGCGGCGGCGGGTACGAAGTCCTCGGGAGGAAGGAGCCGTGGACAGGGGGCGCCGTCCGAAGCCGCCGTCGAGGCTAACCGTGAGCCGCGGTTAGAGGAGAGGCCAGCAGGGTTCTTACACCTTTTCCAAAGTCAAATTCAAGCACTTTTCAAGCATTTTCAAGGTGCATTTTCTAGCTTTTCAAGCATCTTACAGCTGTTGTAAATTACATGTTTATATACACATACTTATACTCAAATGATTATTTCCCTACCTCACATTAAATCAGATGTTCTTTATGCTATAAACAACCAAATGTGTGTTTCATAATAGCATTCTACATGAAAATTAAAAATGTTAGAAAAGAAAACTAAGTT